CCCCCCAATATTATCACGGAAGTCTCCCCCACACTCAACCCCTCCATTATTCCACATTGGGCCGTGCCGAGTCTTTCGACTCCGGCGACCCCAGCATTGCATCACGAGATCAACCAATTCCTTCATTCCTCCCCGCCCTTCTTCCCGTCATGTTTTTAGCATACGCTTATTATTGATCTATCACACCCCAGTTGTCAACGACAGTGGCGTTTACCTACCGGTACGTACTAGTATCCGCCTTCCGCATGGCGCGCTTGGGGAACGTTTTTAGCCTCGCACATTGTGCTGACATGTTCACGTGCAGCCGTCTCCGACAGAAGAAAAAAGGCTGTGGCCCAAGACGTTTCTGCCGTCGGGGCGCACCTCGACCGACACCCGCCACAGCGGCGTGGGCGAGATTGAGCCCTTTTCCATCTCGCGCGAGTCGTTTGACTCATACCGGCGATCTTTTGTATGCCGCCGATGACTGGCACAGACTTGCTTGCGGTTGGGACATGATCAGACGGATCAGGGACGCTGACCGGATTTGGCAGGACGTATCAGCGCGCTCACCCGTGACAAACCACGACGTCCTTCCCCGGCAATCTCTCGATTCGGCTCGGTTCCCCCGGTTCCCGCGGACCACCTTCCACCGTAGCACGGTGGGAGAGCAGCCGACGGTGGAGGAATCGGGGTTCGAAGAAGTAGGACTGCACGACGAACAGGGCAGCAAGCAGCAGCAGCAGCAGCAGCAGCACCCGTCGCCAAATCCGCAGGCGCAAACGCAAACGCAACGCAGACGGGGCCTGTTCGCGCGCTTTGGCGACTCTGGCGGACACGGACATGACAACCGCGATCAGCCGCCGGCGACGCCAACCACCGGCAACCCCGTGTCGCGGTTTCTCATGACGGGGCGCAAGCGGGCCCAGAGCGGACAAGGGTCGGAGCTGGGCACGATGGAGCGGCCCCATACAGCGGAAGCAGATGGGCAAGAAGTGCGTTAAACGAGCAGAGGCTACATAGATTTGGGACTCGTGTGTAGAATTCGTGAGTCGACGGCCGGGAAAGAACAGGAAGCACTGCGGAGAGGGACGCGCATTGGTTATGAAATAATGGGCTTGGGACTTTCTTTTTTCTTCTTTTTTTTTTTTTTTTTTTTTTTTTTATTGATACCCCGCGTAAGAGGATGTAGTTCCCTCTTATCTCACACCCCCGGACCGGACGCCCTCCCTACTTATTTATTTAGTATATCCATCTATACGGTATACTTGTCCCTCACGGTTCGCATGAAGCATTGGACAGAGAGAGGGGCACCCCCCGGATTGGATGAATCGAGGTCATTGAATTGTTCGACATGCCCAGCAACGAAGGGAGGGAGCCCCGGATCCGGAGGATGGTGTCCACGAGTGTATATGTATATATATATATATCCTGCGAGGTCACGGACGACTTTCCATAATGATAATGAGATATGGCATTCAACTGTGATCCGGCGATTAAGTAGAAAGAATGAGAAGTAAAGGTAGGTAACTAGAACGCGGTATGCTTGGGAGGACAGAAAGGTCAACTGTTGACTGGCGATATCGGAGATATTGAAGAGAGGAGATGAAATTGGCGGGGTTCTAGGTAGAGAGGGGCAATGGAGACAGAGAAGAAGATAACCTAGGTACAGTACATCGGAAGAACGATGAATCGAAGCATGTGCTGACTCGGAGTATCTTCCTAACAAATATGCATACCTCGTACAACGGTCCAGTCTAGGTCTCTTAGGGGGGAATGATGCCATCGGCGCCATGTGGAAGCATCCCCACGTTCTAGCGTTCGAAGGGCGTGGCGCATATTACGGGGCATAGGAGTCACCTACTACACTGTCGAGTACCTTAGTGTACAAGCTATTTATTACCTGAAGACACCGACCCGATCAACACATCAACACATCAACACAACAACCCAACACGACATCGTGTATGCAATTTCTGCTTCAAGTTTGTTCTATCAAATCTTTACCGAGCAAGCATTCCGTTATTACTCATTACCGGTTGTAGAACAAAAGAACCATGACCGACTCCGCCGGATCTGAAACCGGCAATGGAAAGGCTTCGGCCTCGAGCCTCGAAACCTCCATCTCCCGGCTCGCGCTCGGCAACAGAAAGGACCTTAAGGATCTCGCGCTGTCGTCCCGCACTGTTCATGCCGATGACTATATCAGCTCTCACCGTGCCATCGCCCCGGCTCTTCATGTGTCTACCACTTTCGACTACAGCCGCAACCCGGACGAGCTTACCGCCTGGGAGAACCGTGATGTGCGGGTTTTCTTTTCTTTCTTTTTTCTTCTTTTTTTCTTCTTCGGTTTCCCCCTTTTCCATATGACATGTCATCCATATTAATGCATCGTGTTGTTTTTAGCCTAACGCTCCCCTGGACTCGCACATCTACTCGCGAGATTCCGCCCCGAACACGACCCGTCTCGAGGCCATCCTGAGCTCCATCCTCAATGGGCCGTCCCTGACCTACGCCTCGGGCCTCGCCGCTTTCCATGCCATGCTCGTCCGGCTCAACCCGCGCCGCATCGCCATCGGCGACGGCTATCACGGCTGCCACGGCGTAGCCGCCATCATGGCGCGACTCACCGGGCTGGAGATCCTCACCCTCGACGAGGCCGACCTCGCCAAGCTCCAGCGCGGCGACGTTCTCCACGTGGAAACACCGCTCAACCCCACGGGCGAGGCGCGCGACCTCGCCCACTACGCCTCCGTGGCTCGTGCCAAGGGCGCCTTCCTCACCGTCGACGCCACCTTTGCGCCCCCGCCGTTGCAGGACCCGTTCGAGCTCGGGGCCGACGTCGTCATGCACTCCGGCACCAAGTACTTCGGCGGCCACTCCGACATGCTATGCGGCGTGCTGGCCGTGGCGCCCGCCCGCGCGGCCGAGAGGGAGGAGAACGGGAACCCGCTCGCGGGGATCCTCGGCATCGAGAAGCTGCGCGAGGACCGCCTCCTCCTCGGCGGCGTCATGGGCAGCCTGGAAGGGTGGCTGGGTCTCCGGTCGCTGCGCACGCTGGAGCTCCGCGTGCGCCGGCAGGCGGAGACGGCGACGCGGCTCGTGGCCTGGCTGGCGGGCGCGTCGGCACGAAAAAACGGGAGCAGCGTGGTGGCGGCCGTGGTGGACCGCGTGTCCCACGCCAGCCTGCAGGAGGGCGCGGCGGACGAGTCGAGCTGGTTGCGGCGTCAGATGCCCGGCGGGTTCGGCCCCGTCTTCGCCCTTTACATGCGCACTCGGGACCAGGCGAGGCGGCTGCCTTCCAAGCTGGCGCTGTTCCACCATGCTACCAGCCTCGGAGGCGTCGAGAGCCTTGTGGAGTGGCGTCGGATGACGGACCCCCGGTGCGACGAGTGCCTCATTCGTGTGAGTATTGGTGTCGAGGCGTGGGAGGACCTCCGTGATGATCTACTGCAGGGTTTCGAGGCCCTGGCGGCCGAGAATGACAAGACCACTGAAGGGCCGAAGGATGATCTCCGCGGGGCTCTAGTTCGGTGAAGGCATGCGGATTAGTCGACCGTAGAAGGTGGGACAGAGGATAGATAGGTACCTTAGATAATGTGGAAATGCGGTGATCGACAGCCTGTTCCTCCATGATGCTTTGAGCCGCGACTTCTCCGCTCATGCTTTCTTCACCACGTATAAGTTCTTCGATTTTTCCGTACCTACATCGTGTAGTCTACCTTACCTAGGTAGGTACTTCTAACAAGTACAACGTCTGGTGTTTCTGGCCTAAGGTATTATTAAGGAGGAAGTCAAAAGGTTCACAAAGCATGGAGCGGAGAACAATGCTCGGGGTATCTAAGTATCTCCCCAGAAGTGCATGGCAGTTACCTCATTCGGATAAGGACGTTGGGACAACAACCAATCAGAGGCCGCAAGTAGGGTTTTACGAGGACAGCCGGAGTTGCGGCTGGGGATGCATGCAGGGAATGGCAAGATCATTGCGTCAATTGGTGACAACTACCCGCGGTCTTTACGCAGTACAACGACAGTGGTCAATAGGAACAACAGGAGGAAGCGAGACAAAGAGGCGAGAAGAAGAAGGGGAGCCCAAGGTAGCGGGGCGGGAAACAGTACCGAGGGGAGGGCGAAAATAAGGCAAGCACAGACAACCGCCAATAGTCGATAGGGAAGGGGCGCCCGAGCAAGAAATGGGGATGGGAAAGAGCTTCCCTAGTGATGTGCGTCCCAGGGACTCGAATCTCGATAAGTTAGATCGTTCCTTCCCATTCTCTTTCCTCTACGACTACAGCCGCAACTTCCTCATCTGTCAGATGCCTACAGCCACCTTATCGGGGTGTGACTTACGCCATTTCTGTAGACGGATAGGGTACTTCCGACCGATGTATCCATATTAATTTCCCCTCCTTTTACTTTATAGTTAGATATTTCCGCAGAGTATCTTTTACTCTTCTTTAATATATATATATATCTTTTGCGCACCTTATTTATATACTAATAGTTATAAGCCTGGCGTTCTAATAAATAAAGCTATTCCGATAGATCCTATAGCTTTAAGGCAGTTAAAATAGTCTTAAGTCTATAGCGGTTAGTTTAGTATTATTAGCTACGTCTGCCTGCTTTATTATAACCGTTATTCCGTTATTTCATTATTTAAATCGCTTAATCGCTTAACCTCTTAATCGTTCTATCGCTCCTTATTTAATCGGTCTATTATAGTCGGTTTCGATAGTTTATTTCCCTATAGTCCTAGTTAGTTAGACGATAGCCTTAAATACGGCGTTACCCACGATAGCCTATACGATCCTTACCTTACTAAAAGAATAGCGTTATTAGATTAAGGCTATTATACAGATAGCCTACGCTAACCAGGTCTTTAACCTTATTAATCTAGACCTCGAGGAATCTAAACGTCCTCCTTAGCTTAAATCCTCGGAACCTCTATAATTAGTGGAAGACGAAGAGAAAGCCTAGGATCGTTAGTTTAAGCTATAGCAGGTTAAGGAGAATAAGTGGTAGTAATAGTAATATAGCCTAGCTACTCTTCACGACTATATCGCGAAGATAGTTAATCCTAACCTTAAAGATTAGTACTCGGGGAAGAAGGAGGTTAAAGATATCCTGATTACCTTAAAAGACTATCTTAAGCCTACTAACGCTGCCTAGAAGTCCTTAGTTAAGAAGAGATACGAAGAGTATATATAAAATATACGGAGGATACCCTATAAGCGCTGGCTTTAGGACTTTATAACGCTATACCGAGATTCGAAAATCTATAGCGTTAGATCTAATACTAACGAGGATTAACTTAATACGTTTTTTAGGGCTATCGGTATTATAGCTCCCGAGTAATTAAAGGTATGATTTATAAGGGTTTTAACGTAAGAGGCGGAAGACTAACCTACTATTAAAAAGGTTATAAAGGAATATACGGTTTAATTACGCTATAGTTATTTTTATAGGCTTAAAAGGAAGCCTATATCGTTATCGTTTTATACGGCGATATTTCTAAGAAAGGATAAAGATAGTAGATAGTAGCCTACTAATTAAGGAGGTTAGTAGTAATAGGGAAAAAAGGGTTCTTCGGCACCTCGGGAATATATCTACGATTACGTTAAGATAGGAAGAGCTAAACGCTATTACTTTCCGTGGAGTAGCTGCCCGAACATTAATCCGACGCACTGCTAAAAGGGCTTTACGCCTATAAAGGAGGTAGTGGAATGCTACGACCGCGTTATTAAGAGCTAGAGTGCTTCTAAGTAAAAGAAGTTTAGGGAGTATATTAAAAAGGATATCGATAAGGCAAAAAATAAGGTAAAAGAGACTAAAGCTAAGTCACTAGAGAAAGATTAGTCTAAGGAAGTATCTAATTTCGTTAATAATAAGGAAAAGGATTCTAACAATAGCTCTTACGATATATATTTTACCTCTAATTTTATAGGTAAAGAGGTAGTATTAAATACCTCTTTAGCCTCGCCGTCGGTTTTCTCGCTCCTATAGACTAAAAAGGTGGTTAGTAACGACCTCTTTAACTAGTTATTAATCGATTCGGGGTCCTTAAGGCATATAACTAATTAACGCCACCTACTTAAGGACTTCTAGCCTACTACCACTATCGTCAGATTTTATATAGGTAGCGGCACCTTTAATCCAGTAAAGGGGTACGGCACGCTACGTTTTTAGGTTAAAGATACTAAAGGTTATGCCTATACCCTTATATTAAAGAATATAGCGTTTATAGATAGATATCCTATAACACTACTTACTACACGCAGGTTATAAAAGGATTAGACCGCTATTTTTATAACTGGCAGAGATATCTTAGTAATAGACCGATATACCTGCCTACCGTTAATTAACGTTAACGGCTAATATACCCTTAAAGTAACCGAGGGCACGCTATAACGATTATAGTAGCAGAGCTATTTTAATAGCTTAAGAGAACTAAAGTCTATAAGCGTAGCAGATACCCGTTTATAGTACGAGAGGCTAGGGCACGTAAACCCTTAAGCACTAGCATAGTTATTAAAAGGCTATGTAGGAGGTATCGTGGCTTTAAAAGAAGGAAGAGCGGCACCTTTAGTGGTAGACTATAAGGCTTACGCTATTAGTAAGGTAAAAAGGATAGTATCGCGATGTCCACCTATCTATAGGCTAATAAGGCCTTTTTAGAGGATTAACGTGGACCTGTTTTCTATAGATCCTGCTGCTAACGGTAATAATACTATTACCCTATTCTATAATCCCTACACATATAAAAACGTAACTAGAACGATACTAGGGCATAAATATATACTATCCTTAATAGCTAACTTTGAACTCTTCTTATAAAGGCAGTATAGGCTACTTATTAGTGTGATTAGACACGATGGAGAGAGGACGCTATAGAAGAAGCTAGATAACTAGTCTTTAGATCGTGGTATCCTGCTAGAAAGATCGGCTCCTTATATAGCCGTATAGAACGCTAACGCTAAACGGTATAGGGGTATTATCTTCACTATCGCGAGGGTATTAGCAGATACCTTAGGCTTCTAATAGGATTTATAGCTAGAGATTATTATAGTAGCTATATACTTATATAACCGGATTCCACACAGGGATCTAGGTTAGTAAACCCCTAAGGGAGTATTAAATGCGTGGCTATAAAAAGAGGGTATTATTAGTTTTATAGCCGGAACTAATCTCTTAATTTCTTGCCTAAAGAGGTATAGTTATAAGGCATACGCGTTAACTACTAACTACCTACGAAGTCGCCGTAAGAACGAGAAGCTAGCGCCGAGAGCGTATATCGGATATTTAATCGGCTTTAAGGGCATTAATATCTTTCGGATTTTAGTTCCTTAATTAGGGGATAGAATCCTACGTATAAGGGACGTTATTTTTAACGAGTTAGTCCTTTATAAAAATGGAGAGAAAGAGCCTAATATGCCTATACCTATATAGCTTTTCGATAACCTTAATCTACCGTTAGATTAAGGTATTCACGACCCTTTTAGAGTTATAATAGATATCGTCGATTTCGGTATACCTATAGTAACGCTGCAGAACTCTATAAGGGAGGCTTTATAGAAAGAAAGGCACCGTTAATAGCAACCTTAATCGTTAAGATCTAGGGGGGTGGCCGGCGGTAGTAGTAAAGGATTAAAAACCACTACTAACGTAAAAACCACCGAAAACGCCTCTAAAAACTAATAGGTTACTAACTAAGAGGTATCACGTGGAACGGCTACCACGGCCGCGGCAGGTACGGTGCCTGCCGTTATACCTACTATTACTTTACCCTCTTTAATAGCTATTTTACCCTCCTCTTTAATAATAGCACTAAAAGCACTAATTTTACCCTCTTTAATAACCTCTTCATCTTTAAGGCCTACTTATACGCCCTTTTCGCCACCTCCTAATAATCCTCCAGTTGAACGCAGTGATTAAGAGGAATCTAAAGATACTAGCGGTTCTTCCTTAGGATCTTCCTCCACCTTAGAGGAGGCTATAGGCGAGGCTACCGACGATACTATCGGGATAGGATTACTATCACCCAACTAATCTGTTCTTAAAAAGACCACTACCACTACTACTACTCCTTAATCCTCTAATCCATAAGCAGCAACCCTATCTTTAGCAGCTAAGTCTAATCCTACTACTACTACTACTATTACGGCCTATTAACTAACCTCTTATTCGCCTGCTTTAGCTTTAACGCCTACTCCTATAGGGCGGCCTGCTTATAATCGCCGACCTCCTTCCAGATATAACGATTACGTCTCCTACTACACCTTTAAGAAGCCGAAAAAGCCGCTACTACGCCGCGAGATACCTAAGGAACCGTTAAATTAGTCTTAGATACTAAAGAGCCCCTATAAGCTATAATAGCTTAGAGCAGCCGTATAAGAGGTGGATACACTTAGGTTAATAGGCACCTTTAAAGCAGTAGAGCAGCCCTAGGGTGGGTAACGTGCCTTAGACCTTAAATAGGTCTTTAAGTATAAGGTTAACCCGTCAGGGTACGTTAGTAAGTTTAAGGCGAGGTTATACGTGCGAGGAGATTAATAGCCTAAAAATCACCTTAACGCCTACGCCTGTACCCTCGCCGGCAGGACCTTTAGGTCGTTAATAGCTATTACTGCATATTTTAATCTAAAGACACGTTAGCTTAATACCGTTAACGCCTTCACTAACGCTACCCTTAACGAAGAGATTTACGTTAAGGATCCACCTAGCTAGCCGCTACTTTAAGTAGTAAAAGGCATAAAGAGCGACGAGGACCTTAAGGCTATCTTAAAGCTATCGCGACTACCCTTGCGCGGTATATAACGCCTACGTAGGGCGTTATATAGCCTATATCGCTCCCCTAAGCTATAGCACGAATAACTCTCTTCCGTTTTAGGTAAGTACGACCTAAAGTAACTAACTAAAGACGATTACGTCTTTAAAAGCAAAGAACTAATCGTCTTCTTCTACTTGGACGATATTATTCTAATCTATAGGAAGGAATATTAATCTACTACTAATTCTCTTATATAACGGATATAGTAGTACTTTTAAGTAAAGGACCTTAGCCCACTTAAGTAGTTCCTAGGGATTAGAGTGGTTCGCGACCGCTAATAATATCGGCTATAGCTTTCCCTCGAGAACTATATCACCGAAAAGATTAAGGTGTTATAGGTAGATTATAGTAGGCGTAGGGTTAAAAGCCCTTTTCCTTTTCCTAATATTTTATAACCTATAACCAAGCAGGCCTCTATAGATTTAATCCACCTATATCTACGAAAAGTCGGCTCTATTAACTACGCCGCCTATTAAATAAGGCCTAATATCTTTAAAGCCGCTTCGAGGCTTACGGAATTTAACACTAACCCGTTAAAATAGTATCACGATACCATAGACAGGTATTTAAAGTACCTCGCCTCCACTAAGTCCTTATACCTTTACTTTAGACCACGTAATAACTACCTATAGCACGCACTTTACTATACTTTTAACGTAGCCTTTAAGGATAACTGTAAGACTCAGTATAATTCCTAAGGCTATACTATATTATTATTCGGTGGCCCTATAGGCTAAAAGGTAAATAAGCAAATAAGCGTTATAACCTCTAGTACTAAAGCCGAGCTTATAGCCCTTTCTACTATTACTAGGTAGTATATCGCGATTAGACGATTAATACGCGACCTAACCTTAACCTTTAAAAATAAGCCTTTAACAATATACTACGATAACAACTTAATAAGGATCCTTTTAGAGGCATTACGCCTTTAGGTTATATCTAGATTAAAGTATCTAGATATCCACGCCCTTGAGATCCGATAGGTCGTTTAATAGAAGAAGGTCCTAATCGCCTAAATCTCGACCTAAGAGATAGTCAGCGATAGGCTAACTAAGGTACTTCCCCCGTAGAAATATAAGGCGTTTATATATCTGCTAGGGATAGAGGTCCTAAGCTAGGGGGCTTAAGGCAATTTATAAAAGGCGCGGTGCTAAGTTTATAATCTATAGCCTAGATTAACCGTTATTTTAGTGCCCTTTAGATTGTTATTTAGGCACCCGTTTTTAATATAGTTTTAGGGTTAATTTAGCCACCTGTTTTTACACGTTTTTAACGTTTTTAGTTATAAAAAGAGCGCGCTTTTTAATAAGTCGTTTAACTGTTAGATTGATATCTAGGCCTCTATTTTACTCTAGATTTACGGCTTTAATTAAGCAGAATAGTCAGGATTAATCCTGCAGTTCCAGGGGGGTGTGTTAGATGCCTATAGCCATCTTATCGGGGTGTGACTTACGCTATTTCTGTAGACGGATAGGGTACTTCCGACCGATGTATCCATATTAATTTCCCCTCCTTTTACTTCATAGTTAGACATTTCCGCAGAGTATCTTTTACTCTTCTTCAATGCACACACACATTGTCGCGTCAAAAGGCACTTGAATGATTAACTTAGTAGAGCAGAAATCTCGTGTGTCTGTATTATGTCAAGTTACATCTGGGAGAGTCTCTTATGCCCTTAATTTGGGTGGTGAAGACTCTGTTATGGGTACCAAGTCATTTGGATCCCATCCGGTCTTTTCCGGTATCCGCCCCTGTCATATCCGAAGCCCTTAGTCATGGCGTGGATCCCCCCTGGATCCCCTATGGACCACGTCGTGGTCCGTGTGCCCATGCGACACACATCTTTTGCGTACCTTATTTATATGCTGACATCATCTCTTATGCCCTACATTTACACTACCTAGGTACCTTAGGTACCTAGGTATCCGGAACCCATCTACCTTATGGTACTTTACCTCCGCCTACCTTGGTACGGCACCGTTGGCCAACTTACTCGCTCACTCATCGATATCGTCATCTGGGAGGATATCTAACGTTGTAACTTGCCCTAAGATAACTCTCATCCCCTCATCCCCTCTACATGGACATATCGACACCCTTCGTTCATCTCTCCCCTGTCATCTGGTAGACTGACACTGGAGAAACCTACTTCTATCTCTTTGCCGCCGCAGTCTCATCTCACATTCTTCCTCCCTATATGACCGAGAAAGCAGGAGCCCGTTGTTCCCTGTGTACAACGTGTATCCGACACGCCCACGATCCGAGGTTAAGGCACATTCAAAGAGATGCCCGGGCGTTAGGGTAGCGAGGGACATGTCACATCCCTTCAACAACAACAACAACCAGCAACGATGGGCCTGTTCAGTAAATCCAAGGCAAACCTCAAGAAAAACTCGAACGACCACGCAACATCACCAGCCCCTCCGCGTCCTCTTCCGGGACAGCAGTACACGAACTCGAATCCCACGACCCAGATGCGCACTCAGACTCAGAGCCCTTCGAACTGGACACAGCAACAAGGAAACGGTCAAGTTGTAGGCCACAGCCACCATCATTCTCCTCAACAGCCCGCGCCTGTAGGATTCCAAACGGGATACCGACCACAACAAGCGCACCCACAGCTACCATCGCAGCCGCACCAGCACCACCAGTACCAACAGCAACAACAGCAACAGCAACAGCAACAGCAGCCCATCGTGGTAAATCAATACTACTTCGTCCCGCCGCCGCCACAACCCTCGCCACACCACTTGGAACAACACTCACTGCAGCCGGGTACTCCCCCAGCCGGCGCCTCTACCACCCAACTTGTCAAGCCCACCTCGTCTTCCCTGAACCTCAATGCCACTGTGCAGGACTGGTGTAAACATGAGGGCTGGCACCCCCATGCCACCTTACTATTAACCCAGTCTGCCGCTTGTGTCGACCTCATTGCCGACTGTTTCAACAACGTCATGACCAGCATCGACAGAGACCAATACAAGGGTCATGAGAGAGACCTCTTTACCTATCCTTACCGGGCTCTGCCTCCTGTTCCTTCTACTCCTCCTCCTCCTCCTCCTCTTCCGCCGCCTCGTCCTCAGGAGCAGGCCATAGTTCACCACCCTCCCTATCAGGAGGACGCCCAGCCTGACCGGTCCTATGGTAGGGAGAGGAGGCGTCGCCATGAGGGGAAGAAACCGAAGAAGTACCACGCCTATCCAGGGGTCACAGACAGGGGGAAAGATGTCGGTCTTGTCACCTCTGGTGTTGCGGGCAATTGCTTCTCCAAAGTCGAATGCTACGCCAACGCCCGTTTGCCACCTGATCTCCCCCGTCTGCGCCTCCCCGTTGAGAATTGGCGCCTGGTGTGCCTGGCTGCCCAGTACGCGGAACGCGTCTACGATGCTGCCAAAGGCGCCGAGCGCGAGGCCCACGTCTCCGCCGACTTGTTAGCCGGCACCAAGGCCATGGTGATCAAATCTGTCCCCGTGGATGACAAGTCAGCCCTGGTCTTTGCTATCCGGGGCTCTGCGTCGTTTGTGGACTGGGCTGTGAATCTCAAGACGGCCCCGACCACGCCTCGAGGTTTTCTCGACGACGAAGGCAACCTCTGCCATGCCGGCTTCCTTTCCGTCGCCCGCCGCATGGTTCGGCCCGTCGCCGCTCGCCTCCGCCAGCTATTAACCGAGGACCCCTCCCGTGCCGGCCACAGTCTGGTCATCACCGGCCACTCTGCCGGGGGCGCTGTCGCCGCCTTGCTCTACTGTCACATGCTTTCGTCCTCGTCTGCCGCTCGTAGCGAGCTCCGAGAGCTGGCTGGTCGCTTTCGTCGCGTACACTGCGTCATCTTCGGCACACCTCCCGTCAGCTTGCTTCCCCTCGCGACCCCGGACGGGCCCCAGTTTCGAAAGAGCCTGTTCCTGAGCTTCCTCAACGAAGGGGATCCTGTAGCAAGGGCCGATAAGGCATACATCAAAAGCCTCCTCGACTTGCTCGCCACGCCGGCCCCCAAGCTGCCTACCCTCGGGAAGGAGAATAAGAAGGAGGACAAAAGGGCGAGGCGAGCTGCCCCGGTATGGAGGGTGCCCACTTGCACGCTGAGCTCCCCGGGGAGGATCGTGGTGCTGCGTAGCGGGACACCGGAGACCAGGGGCGACAAGCGGACGGTCGGAGACCGATTGAAAGAGGGCGCTGTCGCCCTGACGACGACGGATGAAGGGTTACGAGACGTTATCTGGGGAGACCCCGTGTGTCACGTCATGAGGCTATACGCCGGGCGTGTTGAACGGCTGGCCGTGAAGGCGGTGACAGGGAAGAGGGGAATAAGAGGGCGAGTGTTTGGGCGATGACGACGGTGGGAGTCTTGTTGGGTGTGGTGACGGCGTTTCCATTTTTTTCTTCTTTTTTTCTTTTTTTTTTCTTTCATTTTTGGCATGACATGATACCATTTGACGACCATTTGATTGACGATTTGATTGATTATATATAGTGTCTGTATTTAGACTCAATGGGTCAAACTATTGCGTACTCCTTCTTTTTACCAGATCCTCCGCCAGCGAACTCTCATATCCCGATCGGGGGGCACGGATGCGGCGCCAAAAAAACGGTCGTCCTCCTTCGCCTCGCGGTCGCTCGTGCGGGCGTGACCATTGTGGTCATCATGGTACACCCAGTCGACAAACTCCATGTCAAATCGGGAGACCAGCATCGCCACGGCGAGCATGATTTCCTGCTTTGCAAAGTGGCGTCCGGGGCAGATGGACGGACCGCCTCCGAAGGGGAAGAAATCCGCGCTGCGGGCCGAGGGGACGAATTCGAGACGAGGAGACGAAGAAGTGGGTGAGCGGGCCTCGCGCAGGTGTCGGCCGGGCCAAAATTCGGAGGCAGGTGGGTAATTCGGTTTCCGAGCCCAGACGGCATCGTCGCGGCCCGCTAGGCTGGTCGGGGTTTGGAGCAATGTCCCCGCGGCGACGCTGTAGCCTGCGATGGTGGTCGGGCGGAGGGCTTGCCGCGTCACGTATATGGCAACATGGAGGCGCAGGACTTCGGTGTAGACAGCTTGCAGTAAAGGCAGGGACACGAGTTTCTTAAGGTCGAACTGGCGGCGGCTGGGACGAGAATGGTTGCCTCTTCCTCCTCCTCCTCTCGGCTGGGGCCCCTCCTCGCCCATGCCCTCCTCCCCATGGTCATGGATCAGAGCCGTGTTCGCCTCCTCCCGCACGGCGGCGAATAAATCCGGCCTTTTGACCAGTTCGAAGAGCGCCCAGGCGGTCAGCGGGATAGTGTTGGAGTTGATGCCCAGAACGTGAGTGTTGAGCGTGCCTGCCTGGCCGCGGCGCGAAACCCCGATGTCGCGGACGAACGTCTGCGCGAGGCGCGTGAAGCGGTTTCCAAAAATAGGTTCCCAATCTGGATCTTCCTCTTTCTCGTTCCTTCCCTCTCTCTCCTTCTTCTTGGCATCCCACTGTTTGAACGCCTCGTCGAGGAAATCAGCCACGTCGTCGTGAAAAGCGTTACGCACCCGTACGGGTTCCGGGTCAAGAAACCGAGGGAGCCCCCACACCAGACGCAGGCCGACGGAATCAAACTCCCAAAACCGCTTCACGTAGTTGGGCACCCGGCGCAGGACTTCGGTCCCGGAGAGGGACGCCACGGCGGCGGTGCCCATCTCGTGCTTCAGGAAGGCGAAGATCCGGACATCTTCGACCCAGTCGCCCCCGAGAGGTTGGGTCTCTTCTATCGCGGCGGAGAAGAAGCGTGTAAAGGTCCTGGCGAGGGTGGCGGTCACCTCGGGACGGGCGATGAATTCGTGGATCTCGGCCTGGCGGTACCAAAGCCTTTTGCTGTTGTCGTCGTCGTCTGTTCTCGGGATACGGCGTCGCCCTGTGCGATCGGCCTTGAAGCCGGCCACATCCGACTTGGACATGCCGCGCAGGTTCTCTAGAATGAGGAGCAGGAATCTCTCCGCCGATACGTCCTGTGAACGGAAGAGTGATTGGACCTGAGCGGATCCCGTCACGAGGGTTACAGGGATGGGACCCAGGTGGAAGGTTGCCAGATTGGTGCGAGACAGCGTTTTTCTAGGTGGCGGTTTACAACATAACGTTAGACTTGACTGCCCTTCCCTCATGGGCTGTCTGGTGAGAACTCACGCAGCACGTTCAAGAAAAGCCTTAGGGCGTGTGATATACGCGATGGCGTTGGAGATGAATGGGATCGTCTCAGGGATCGCAGGGGGTGCGTTCCATTTCTGGTTCCTCTTCGTTGTTGACACTCCTACGTCTTCTGTATCGGACTCCCTTCCCTGACCCTTCGCTTTCCCTCCTCTTATCCATATCACAAGGGAAAACAATATCGCGGCAACCAGTAGGAGGAGAAGGAGGACGCTTCTAGCAACACTGATCCCGTCGTCTGGGCCCTTGTACATATTCATGTGTCGATTTACCGTCTCGAAGACCATATCCGCCAGAGACGGCGCCTTGTCATCGCCGCTCTGCTGCGTCGAGGGCATCGCCACTGAGAGAGGAGCAGGATATCAGGGAGAACCAGGGAGACGAGATCTAGTCTTTGCTACAGAGTGTGCAAAAGGGCCACTGCCACTCCATGAGGAGACGAAGCAGTTGATGTCATGGGATAGATCGACCGGGGAAAAAGAAGGGCAGCAAGTGGACGGGGAAAAGGGGAGGGGAGGGGGGATGAATGCAAATGTACTAGGCATACCCGGAATTGCTGCTCCCATGTTCATTCATCCTTCCTCCCACCCGCCTGTTATCATCATAACGGCATGTAGAGAGACTTGTTGTTGGCATGACCCCGTGGGTGTAAATCTGTCGTCTTCGCGTCCTGCAGAGACAGGGGTCGGAGGAGTCTCGGCGAAGAATGCAGATAGAAGATGGTGGATAACTTGGCGAATCACCCACTGGTAAGGGCTGCAAGATGCATGCAAGTAAGGTCGAAGCTGACCGTTGGTGCTCCTCTCTGACCGTCCGTCCTGCGGCCAAGCCACAGACCCGAACAGCCCCCATCCATCTCCATCTGCTTCTTCGCCCGTCCCATGACCCTCTTCCCCTCCCTCTTTATCGATCTGCCTTGGTTAAGTGTCTGGTAAACCTCGTGTCCGATTAAGAGCTGTATATTCGTACACTGCCTTTTATGTTCTGTTGATACAAGGACGCCCCCAACCATTCCCTTTCGCGTGCGCCATCATGCCATATCAGTCTTTCCTCGGCGTTGCCTCTTTGTGAATCTGTAAAACCAAGGCCGAGAAAAAATAATGAAAGAAGGGGAGACAAAAAAGAATACTCGTCTGGCTTCACCAAAACAAGGAAAGGTCTATAAGCCCCATTCCAACCCAGGCTTTGGCCCAGCCCAACAGACTCTCTTGCTTTTTTCGCCTCCCCGAAACCACACAAAATAACCTCAACCCACGAGTCTAAAGGCCGCCGTCATTCAACACCCAAGGGGGGGAACCAACAATCATCTGTCTAGTCACACTCGTGATGATTATTCCATCCCCTCTCCCATAACATATTAAGACAACAACAAAAAAAGAAAATGTGCTTCGCCTATCGTACGTTGGCGTTGTTGGCGTATGGACCTGGGGCAGAAGAAAAGAACCAAAAGTAAAATAAGAAAAAGAAACCACCCCCCCCCAAATCCCCGCGAGATGCTCGCTTATCCCCAAATTCTTGTTATATTCGTCAACCCATCTCGCCATCGGCCACGGCCAGCCGCTGCTTCAGGGTCTTGGCCTTCTTCCCGCCAGTCGCCGTGGTGCGTCGCTTCTTTGGCCCCTTGCCGTCTAGTTCTACCACTGGCGTGGCGGTGCCCGAGGCGCCCTTGTCGTCAAAATGACCTTCGCCTGTTGAACGCGTCATGTTAGCACCATACATACCCCGGAGAGAGAATATTGCGTGAATGGGAATTTTCCACATACCTTCGTGATACATGTCGTCCAGGCTGACACCGCCTTCGCCGCCCGTGCGTTTGCGCTTGCCACCCTTCTTCTTCAGCTGCTTGTCGTACTCGCCGCTTTCCAAGAGCTCCTTCTCGCGCCGTTCGATCATCTCGGCCTGTTCGTCGTCGGCGAGCCACATGGCAATGTCGCGGTTGCGGTTCTCCGGCGCCCGCCGGCCCGAAAAGTCCACACTGGCGCCTCCGCCCTGGATGACCACCCGCTGCACTTCCTCCTTCTGCAGCGCGCGTTTGCGGATCCGCTCCTCGATCGTCCCACGCGTGATCAACCGGTACACCGTCACTTGTCTCGTCTGTCCCAGTCGGTGAGCTCGGTCCATGGCCTGCGAATCGATCGTCGGGTTCCAATCCGAGTCGTAGAAGATGACCGTGTCGGCCGACGTCAGGTTGATGCCCAAGCCGCCCGCACGCGTCGACAGCAGGAAGACGAAGATGTCCGGCCGTGTCTGGAAGTCGTGCACCGTATCTCGGCGGTCCTCGAGCTTGGTCGACCCGTCGAGCCGGCAGTACTTGTAGTTGCGGTACGTCAAGTACTCCTCCATCAGATCGATCATGCGCGTCATCTGGAAGTACAGCAGCACGCGGTGTCCCTCGTTCTTGAGCTTGAACAACAGCCGGTCCAGCACCGCCAGCTTGCCGCTGTCCGTCACGAACCGTCGCATAGACGGTACCACGATGTTGGTGAGCTTCGTCCTCTCGTTGTCCGGAGCAGGCAGCATCGCCGCCGGGGGGTACTGCTCCCGTGCCACCTTCTGCATCACGAGCGCCCTCTCCTCCACCGGCGTGGGGCCGAAGAGCGCCTTACGCATCGGGATATTGAACAAGATGTTGTCGAGTTCTCTCTTGGTGCCCTGACTGCGGCAGCTGACTTCGATCGGCGGCGCCGAAGCCCTAGGTCGTGCCGCCAACTCGAGACGGCCGAGACCCGAGTCGTCATACTTCTCCCGCGACACTCTCATGAGGTGCGCAAGGACGCCCTGTTCCGTAACCTCGGCCAAGGCCTGCTTATCGTTCCGGGCCGTGATCTGCAGCAACGCGTGTGCTGGCGTGTAGCCCTGATCCCCCGGCTCGTCATATACGACGCCAAAACGTCCGAGAGGCCGTTGCTTGTCCTGGGCCAGGGATACCGACCGCGCGAATATGTCCTGGTGACCCGCCTTGTAGACTTCGGCGGCGCTGCTATCGGCGAAGCGCAGCCATGAGAAGGCTCCCGTGCCTGCCGTGCTCTCTTGGACGTTGTCCGGAGACCAGACGTTGAGCAGGTGTTGCATGTACTTACCCCGCCACCCGGCCTTGTCATTGTCATTGCCGGCCCGGTATAGTCGACCGCCTTCCTGCCACACGAGGCGTGGCAGCTCGAATTCGATCAGGTTGCGGGTCGAGTAGCCGACAGTGACATTGTTGCCTTCGCGCACGAACGAGGCCGTCTCGGCGAAATAGCCGAAGGAAAATGGCGACGTGGTGTCGGCGCGCTCGAACAAGTCCGGGTGGTTGCATACCTTCCGGAACTGCATGACGAGGTTCATCAGCGTGCCAGAGTCGTTGTCGTCTCCCGTCGTGGCCTTTTCGATAAGATCCATGATACTGATCTGGTTCCGCAGGTTGCTGTAATACGCCCTCTGTCGGTACGTCAGGTCGCAGAAGACGTCCTTTTCAATCTTGTCGCCGAGTTCCTTCTGCACGTGCTTCTTCACGCGACGCAGCATGAAAGGCTTGAGGATCATGTGCAGCCTCTTGAGCTGATCCTCGTTGAGCTTCGTGTTGCTCTGCGCGTGCGACTCGATGTCCTTGGAGAACCACTCGCTGAACTCGTCGTGCGAGTCGAACAGGGACGGCATGATGAAGTGGAGAAGTGCCCACAGCTCTTGCATGTTGTTCTGGATGGGCGTACCCGTGAGGAGCAGGCGATTGCGGCAGTGGAAATTGAGCAGGCTTTTCCACCGCGAGCTCTGCGAGCTCTTGATGGCCTGGGCCTCGTCGAGGATCATGTACTGCCACCGCATCTTCTGGAAGTAGGCCACGTCCGACACTACCAGCTGGTACGATGTGACGCAGACGTGAAACGACGCGTCCTTCCGGTACGTCGTGTGCTTCCGGTCCCAGAACTTGCGGAGCACCTTGCGGTCGCCGGCCGATCCCCAGTATGGCAGGATCTTGAATTCGGGGACGAACTTGCGGATTTCCTGCTCCCAGTTGTGCAGGGTTGAGGCTGGGGCCACCACCAGGAAGGGGCCCCAAATGTCGTACTTCTCGGCCAGATACGCCATGACGGAGATGGACTGGACCGTCTTGCCGAGACCCATCTCGTCGGCGAGGATGCCGTTGATGCCTTGCTCGTACAGGTTGGCGAGCCAGTTCAGGCCCTTGAGCTGGTACTCCTTGAGCTGGGCGTTGATAAGCTTGGGCTGCTCAATGTCGACCTCGCCGAGGCCGGTCGGGTTCTGGAAGTTCATCTCGCCTTCCTCGTCCAAGTCGGCGTCGTTGTTGTTGTTGAACTCGCGCGCCTTCCTCTGGGCCTCGGCAATGGCGTTCTGGGCGTTGGCCATGGCCGCCTCGCGCAGCGCCGTTTCGTCCTCGGCGTCAAAGTCGAGGTTCTCAAAATTGGTCACCCTCCCGCCGACCCCGGTCGGTTCCTGGACGTCGAGCTGGCGGTTCCGCTCGGTCTCTTGCGTGTTCTCGGCGGCGATTTCGGGGTTATCGGTGCTCCGCTCAACCTCGGCCGTCCTGATCTTCTTGCCGATGAAGTGCGAGTACAGCTCCGTCTGCGAGATGAGGAAGTTGAGCTTCCTCTTCTGGCGCGCGGCTTCGCGGTCGGCCTCTTCCTTGCGGGCGTTCTCCAGCTCCTGCTTCTCGGCGGCCTTGCGCAGGTCGCGCTCTTCCCGTTCGTTACGCTTCCAGAAAGTCATCATGTCGCGCATGACGCGCTTGGCACGGGCCTGCTGGTCCTTCGTGCCCTTGTTGGTGCGTAGTTGCCAACGCTTGGCCTCCTTGGATGCGAGAATGGCCGTCTTCTTAAGGTTCGACGATTTGATCTGATACGACTCGGCGGCCAGCTTGAAGGTCTTACTCACGTCCTTCCGGGCCAGGTCCCGCCAGATCTGGTCGTAAATCTGGTTGTAGCCCTTGGTCAGGAATCGGGCCTCGTTGCTGGGCGGCTCCTCGACCTTCTTTTCCTTTTCCTTCTCTTTGGGTTCTTTCGGCTGCTTGTTCTCCTTGTCACCCTCGGCGGCGTTCTTGTCCTTACGATCCTTATCTTTGTCCTTGTCTTTCTCCTTGTCCTTGTCCTTGTCCTTGTCCTTGTCTTTGCTGTCCTTGTCCTTCGACTTGGACTTGCTGATCTTGATGCGGATCTTGGACTCCTCCTTGCTGGGCAGTTCCTCGCCAGCGTCCAATGCGGCTTGGGCGGCCTCGGCGGATTCCTTCTCGGCCTGCTTCTGTTCCTTAGACTTCTTGGGACGGGTGCCACTGCGGCCCTTGCCCTTGGTCTTGGTACCCGAGGGAGTGGTGACGCCGGGCTCCATATCGGAGGCCTGGAAAGTGGACATGGTGCCCCCTTCGAGGTTAAGGTCGATGTTGCGGGCGGGACCCTTGATGCCCTTCTGGAGTATGAGCTTGGTCTGTTGCGCCTTCTTGCTGGCACGTTCCGCGTCGCGGAGGTAACGGGCCTTTTCGCTCTCGTCCTCGGCGAGCCGTGCCTTCTCCAGAGCGGCGTTCTTCGCCTCGATAGTAACGGCCATGGACTTCTCGCGGCGTCTTTTTCTCTGCATATCCTTCTTCCGCTCCTTCTCGGCGTGGACCTCACGCTCCCGGACCTCCTGCAGGGCCTCCTCGAAGTGAATCTCGTCGTATCGTCGCTTGGACAGATCGGCGTGTGCGGCCAAGCGCAGCCCGAAGATGTGCTCAGCAACGTAGTCGCGTCTCTTGGCGTTCTGTCGCGTCTCCGCTTCCTGCATGATGCGACGGCGCTTCTGGCTACGCTGGTAAAAGTAGGCCTCCTCGCGATGCAGATCCGACTCGTCCAACCCGTCAACCTCGGCATCGAGTTGGGCCATCAGGGCCAAGACTCTCTTTTCCTTGTCGGCCGGGAGCACCTTCTGCTTGGGCTGGCCATTGACCTGGCGCTTGACAGGCACACGTGGGGTGGGCGTGTCTCTGGCGGCGTTGGCAGTAGACACACGACGGCTGTTCTTGGGCGTGGCTTCTGCACCCCGAATGTCGGAAGCTCGGGACTTGGATTTCCGGGGCGCCTTCTTCTTTTCCTTGACCACAGGTGTGTCTTCGCGGTCCTGTTTATCTGCCTTTGCCTTTTTCGCCTTGGCAACCGAAATTCGGGGTGTAGGCTCGGGGTCCGGTTCTGTCTCGGTATCAACCTCGCGGCGTCGCTTGACCGCCGGCTCAGGGGCCGGCTCGGGAGCCAGCTCAGGTTCAGGTTCGGAGGCTTTCTCTTGAACCGGAGGAGGTGATGGTTTCCGCGGTGGCTGGGTCACAGGTTCGGAGTTAGACAGGATATTGGAGAAGGACATGGGATCGGCCGCACGACTCTGCAAATTGAATTACGGTTAGCTTGTGGCACTGCTCGAGACGGGAACCTCTAAAAATAATGGGTATCTTACGCTGGACGAGGGGGGAGGAGGCGCAGGGGCCTTCAGCGGCGAATCGGTATGGGCGTGTGACATTTGGGGCAACACATGAGGCGTTGTAGTATTGGACGACACGTGACGTATTCCGGGAGAGGCCGTGTGTCTCGTGCTAGGAGAAGCCAAATGAGAAATCTGTGGTCTGTTCGAAGGACTGAGAGAGCCCTGTGCAGTCGGACGCGCGTGCGAGTGTGAATGGGGGCTGCGGGGAACAAAGGTCGAAGCGGCCGACACCGGCGAGGTGTAGTTCCCGTTGGTGTAGTACGAATGATTCTGGGTTTGTTGATGGTCAGCTGGCGGTGGGGGCTGCGAATAATTGTAGGGGTCGCGAGGCTGTTTTGGCGACAAGAGGAAGATGGGATATTAGCAGGCCGTACGCAAGGACGATGGGGTGGCGTTACTGAAAAATGGCCCGATGTCGTGATGTAGGAAAGACGAGCATGAGTAGACAGAATAAAAATGAAGGGTTGTAAAAGAACTGTTTTATATCAAAGGAGAAAAAGCGGATTGCCGGGGGGAGTTGGTAGAGGAAAGCTCTACCCGAAGGCAGCTGCCTAAGACTCCAAAGGCGATATTGCCGACCTCGATATTTTGGCGATGGTGGTTGTCGCCTCTCTGGCGATGATGGAAATGTGATGGGGCAGCATTCGACTTGTGGTAGGTATCGGAGTACCAGAGAGTAAAGTAAAAATGGAAAACAAGGAAATGGGAAAAAACGGGGGCGGAAAAGTAGGGTAATGGGGTTTGATGAAGCAAGGGAGCTCGGACGATGTTGGAGTTTGAGCCCAAAAGCACGAGATGCCAAGAGTTGCGAAGGTGATGCGAGCAGGAAAGGGGGGCTAAAGGAAGAAGAAAAAAATGGAGAGGGAGAAGTTTCTTTTAGGTAGATAGTGGTCAATGAGGGAAAGATGATACTAATAATGGTCTAAGAGATGATGAATGGAGCTTGGAGCTTTGGTGCGTGTCTTGTGTTCATTGAAGTTTTTCTGGCGTTCTGGGGGGGAAGGACGGAACAACAAAAAAAAAAAAAGGGGGGGGGATCCAAAATGATCCCGAACCTACAAATTCTAACACTTCTTCTCCTCGGATTGAAGCCTAAGGGGGGGAAAAGGGGGAAAGGATTTATGGCTAGGCAGATACGAGCAGAAACAAATAATTGAATAATGGCCAAACAAGGGAAGAGGGCAAAAGGAGAAGGACAGAAGAGAGAGATACTGCGTACCTTGGGAGGCGATGGCTGACTCGACGCAGCATATCGAGAACCCGCATCCGACACCTTCCTCTCCCTCGTGGAGTCCGTCAATGGGTCGTAGTAACTACTTGTAGCCGGCTTCGGCTTGGATTCGGGAGGAGGGTAGTATGCACCACTGGGAGGATGAAGTGGCGACAGCGGAGGACCCTGGAGAGGGCCTGACGACGATGTCGCTGAGGACGCCCCCCCAAAGGGATTCTGGTTCGGGTTGGGAGGTGATAGCACCGACTGAGGTTGCGTTCGGGGAGGCGGGGGAGATCGGTGGTGATGGTGGTGACGGTGGTGGTGGTGGTGATGATGATGCGGGCGAGAAGGTGGATGATTGGAGTGACTGGAGTGATGAACTGTTGTCGCTGTTGCTGCTGCGGCTGCTGCTTGGTTGTCACTCGGTGTCTGAGGCGACGAGTAATGCCCGTGTCCGTGTACGTGTTGTCCGTGTCCCTGCCCTTGCCCTTGGGAGTGGGTGTGGCCATGGGTCTGCGTGTGGTGAGCATGTTGGAACTCGGACCGGGGAGGCGACCGTAGACTGAAGCTGGCGTGTCGCGATGGCGGTGCCGACGACTGCGAGGGCGGTGGTGCAATAATAGAGCTTAGGTCGTGGCGGTGGCGTCGGCTCTCCCCATTATGGTGGTCGCGGTCGCGGTCGCGTTGGTCGTAGTCGTAGTCGTAGTCTCGCCGACGCTCGCCGTCATCTCCGCCGCCGGGTTGCCGCAGGGGAGCTTGCAGCACCGTCGAGCGGAAGTCCTTGGGATGTTCCATCTCGATCTCGGATCTCGATCCCCAAGGAAGAGCGTAGCAGGTCAGTTCGATATACCAGGATGTGGCCAGTGATGTGGCCAGAGACCAGGAATGCCCGATCAGGTGGATAGATAAACGACCACTTGAGATTCCCGCTTCGCCTGGCTCCGGAACACAAGAAAAGAAAAAGGCGAGCCTCGACTACGAAGTATCATCGACGGTCCAGCTAGATATGGCGGAGTTGACGTGTTGAACGAAATGAAGGTAGCACGAATCCAGCCTTGGGTTGCCCCAAGAGCTCGAAGAGAGGTCGGAGCGTGCAAGGCCTGCAGGGCCCGAAAATTTGTCTTGACGAAAGTCCGTCCCTTGCTCGTGATCTTGCTCTTTTTGTTCTCGTTCCCCTTGTCGGTCTTTTTTTTCTTTTCCTCTTCTTCCTCTTTCCTCTGGTTGGTAATGTATTGTTGTGACGACAGACAAAGGTCGGCTAGGGACTCAATCCCGTATCGTACGTAATCCTTTCGTCTCGTAGACACAGCCAGATATGACGTGACACTGAAAAAGAAAGGCAGTCGTGGTTGTTATTGATCTCTTAAAATCCGGTGGCTGCTGCTTGGTCGGGGAATCGCGACATGGGTCGGCGGTTGTGATATGTGTACCGTCCGTCGATTGACGAGAAGTGGAAGACGGATGACAAGATGGAGAGACAGGAAATAAGAACGGCTTGTGGCGGCCGGAGATGCGATTCAAACGGATCCCAATCCGACGCGTGCGCGTTGAGAGACAATACCGAGAGGTGAGCGATGACTGTCGGTTCGCCGAATTAGAGACAAGCGTGGCACCAAATGTCCACGATAATGTACCGATATACTGCGGCTCTGCTATTATTAGAGTGATGAGCGATGGACGTTGTGCGTTGAGACAAAATGTATGCAAGGTGGCAACTGTTGATGGGAAAGCAGGAGGGGAGGATAGGAAAAGTGGACAAGGAGAGGAAAATTACAGAAGGAAAGAGATGGAAGGATGGTTGTTGATGGGGGTTGGAGGGGAGAGAAGGCCGAGACCAAATTTGGTTGAGTGATGAAGGGGAAAGGCGACGGGATAGGGCACGGGGTCTATCAGGCTGTTCGGCACTGGAGACTGGGGATAGGGAATGGGCCCTTAATACCTTAGTAGTGTGAGGGTAGACTTTCGTGTGGTGGAGGATGCGGAAGTGGAGGATGGAGAGGTAATGAGAACGATGCGTTACGAGATGCGGGCCGGGGTGGAAGAGATGAGAAGAAGTTGAAGAACGATTCCGTGTCTTGAGTCGAGACGCAGAGTGAGAGGGGAAAAAGAGATATTATGTTATGTTGCGGGGGGCTAGGTCTTTTTTTCCCTTCCCCCTGACCCTTTCCGTATCCCTTTTTGCCCGTTCACTTTTTGTTCCGTCACGTTCTTCAGTCAATCCACTCTACCTATCCGTACTTCGTACACATTTTCATGCCGACGAGAAGCTGCAGGTGGTTGTTGTTGTAGGTACGGAGTACGTACAGGAAGTAGGTAGCCTCCCTCCCCCGTGTGGCAGCTGCCAATTAGGAAATACTTCGTACCTGCTACCCTGCTTTCATCCAATACAATTACAAGACAATGGCAGGGGGGTATTTCAAAGTGGATCCTCGACCCACATCAGCCGGTGCTTCGTCACTCCACTATCCTCTCTCTAGGCCATAACCCGGCAAGTCGAGGTTGCCAAGCTTCATTCAATCCTTCTTCTCCGGCTGGCTGGCGCCACGATCCGCTTATTACCCTCCCAAGTCAGCAGCGACATAATTCGATTTTTCGCATACCCAAAACACCCCATAAGTCGCCACAACCAACAGCGCAACCAATAATAAATTCCCGGCACCAAAGTATCACGATATTATGTTTCCTTGTAATAAGACAACTTCGTCTGTCAAAAAGAAACCCAAAAATTGAATTGAACCGGCTATCTTTAGGCGCCTGCCTGCGGCTATTCCCTTATCGCCGACCCATCAATGCTGGTATTCATCCACTCCTCAGGCTGAGCAGCTACCCTAGGTCGTCCGCTCGATCGTGAGGCTCGTGAGAGCGTATTACTTATTACTGGCCCCGTAGATAGGGAAAGGTTGGAGATTGGCACGCCTCCCCCTACTTTTTGGTAATTCAAAATCGCCACAAGAACATGCCGAAGACTCGGATATGCGTTATGTGAATGTCTGGTTGATCCACTGGTATCACTGCCCCTTCCACCTATCTGGGACCATCGGGACAGGATCACTTCGGATGGTGTATTTATCCAACTCCGATGCTCCTGTGTTTGTCGAAGGAACCCCTTTATTAATCTCCCACAAGGTATTACGTACATCGCCAGAAATCAAGAGGACGCTTGTTATTGATTCATATAGCGTTGGATCGTCGCGGATAGTAGAATTCAATTTCTTTGCTGCAGGTGTCCTGAAGCCACAAGTCGTCTAGATCATGGTTATGACACTGATCCGCTATAATCGTCCCAAACCTGCCAAAACTTTTCCTCCATACAATACGAGCGGTGAGTGGGCATCCCGTCTTCCGGGCGCGTTTTGCATTCCACCATTGAGTCGACCCACGAGCGGCGTAAATCCAGCGTTGCGACGGGGACCTTTGGATCAGTTCCCCCCGCTTTCCCTTCCCGTGAGAACGTCGACGGGCGATAATGAATCTACGATCTACAACGGCCTCGACGAGTGGTTTATACGCCATATCAATGGGGGAATAAATCGGTGGAGGCATATAAATGATGGAACATGTACAGAGTATGGATATAGCTTCATGCTTGGTCGGGTGCGACTTTTGTCATCAATTCCTTCGTACGACGCAGTATTACCGGTACAAAGTAGGGCCGGCCCAGCCACCGACCCATCCACTTTCTTCAATTTCGCTTAGCGTCATGAACCTCCCGAAATCGCCGCCATCAATGAACGAAACGTATTCAACTTTGTACCTGTACGATGTAGATAAGCCCGCCCGTGAGCCCAACTTTTTTTTACACGTACTACTCTCCCTCCCTCAGAGGCGGCACGCGTTAATTGGCTCAGAGGGGCAGTAAGAAAGAGAGAATGCCGATGTTTGCAGACAGTTCGGACCACATGATGAAAGGACAAGCCCAGTCGGCATCGCAACTATAACGATGTATGCTTCTTTTCTTCTTCGCAGAAGAACCGGTAAACTTGCATCGCGTCTACTCCGTTTCTGAGCTGCAAACAATGATAGGGTTGAGTTCTTCAACAGGACCATGTCCGTTTCCAGGTCATCGAGGAGAAGACCGCAAAATGCTTTCCGTGACAGGAAAACGCCCTGGAAGAGAGTTTCTTATTAGCAGTAACCAATCATCCGCTTCTGAATAAACTCAAATAACAATATTAACCAAGATGCGTGACTCGTACAAATGCCCCTGTAGGAAAACTTCATTGAATGGCATCCATACAGGCAATGCTGACTGACCTCCAGAACTACAGCACGATCCGATCTGCCAGTCAAGAATGGCTTCATGGATTTCATGCTAGATATCATGCAGTAATACTAGCAGCAGGCAGGATCATTGCCATCGCCACATCCATGTGCGTTCATAATCTATTCGTTACTGGCATAACAAGGTGAAGTGTAAAAGGAAGAGGCTCGTCCCAAAAAAATATGTAAGCAAGACCCTTCAGCAACAGTGTTCTGCCAAAGCAGTCGGTCCATTTTCAGGGACCAAGATCACACACGGCCACCCTATCAAAAGAACAGAGAGAACTGTATCATCACTTCCGCCATCCTCATGGAGTGTTGGGAATAGGAGTTAAAATAACAAAAGAAACAAAATTCTATCCTTGACGAAATGCCTTCTCATATAGTGATGCCAGCGCCCTTCAGAGCATCCCGTGTCATGTCCGGGGCCTCTCAGTCTCGCGGCCTGCCAGCATGTCCTATGCAGTCCACCATAAGCTCTCTATCGTTACTGTTCTACTCAGCCTCTGATACTCTGAAAACCCTCATCATCATGAAAGGGGTAAAGGCATACCAGCCAGTGGTCCACCTCAAGTACCTTGGCATTCCATTCCTATCGACGATTGCTTTTTCTGTCTTCCCGTTGCCTAAACCGAAATCCTTGCATCTTCCGTCGTCATTATCCGAAAATGACAAGCTCAGACAGCGCCAGCTGAAATCATCTTCTTCCGCAGGTAGTTCTTGTATTCGCTGATGGAGCCGTCCCAAGCCTTGATGGTTTTGTTCTCGCACACCAGAATCTGCTTGGCAATCTTGTCGAGCAATCTATACAATAAGCGTCAGCAATCGGCGATCTGGCAAGGCGAGCTAGAAGAGGAGGAAAGAGAGGGGAGAGTAGGGGGGGGGGAAGGGATCAGAAGGGGTGGTACGTACCTGAAATCGTGGCTGACGACGACAACACCTCCGCTAAAAGCGTTGATGGCGTCGGCGAGGGAGTCGATGGTGGGAATATCCAGGCCGTTGGTAGGTTCGTCGAGCAGCAGCATATTGGGGCTTTCAATGGCCAGGAGGGCGAACACGATACGACTCCGCTGGCCATCAGACAGCGTGCCGATGAGCGATGTTTGGGCCTCGCCTGTCAGGCCGTAACGACCCAACTGCTGGCGCCAGTACTGGTAGTCTTGGGACAAGTGGCTGTACTTGCTGCGGACGAACTCGAGAGCCGACTTGGTCAGGTCGAGCTGCTCGGCACTGTGCTGCGAGTAAAGGCCCAGTTTGAGATGCGTGTGCCGGGTCACGGAGCCCCCGGTAGGTGACAGCTTGCCTGTCATCAGCCGGAGAAGCGTCGACTTGCCCACACCGTTCGGTCCGACGAGGGCAGTCCTCGAATCCATGTCGAAACCGAGGTCCAGGTTGCGGTACAGATCGTCCTTCGGGTCGCCCGAGTACGAGAAGGTGACGTTGTCGAACGACAGGACGGGAGGAGGCAGCTTGCTAACCTCGGCGAAGCGGAAAGTGAAGACGCGGTCCTGATGGACAGGCTCGATGAAACCGTCGGCCTCCATCTTGTCGAGGATCTTCTGGCGAGATTTGGCCTGCTTGACGAGGTTGGCGTAGGTACCGGCGCTGGCGATGAACTTCTTGATGTGAACAATTTCCTCCTGCTGCTTGCTGTACGCTTTCATCTGGTTCGTCTCCTGTTCGGTACGAGTCTTTATGTACGACTCGTAGTTACCACCGTAGTACAGGAGTTGTTTCTGCCTCATATCAATCATGTTGGTGCACACGCCGTTGAGGAAATCCATGGAGTGCGAGACAAGCACCAGGGTGCGCTCCCACTTCTTGAGATACTCCTCCAACCACACGCAGGCCTCAAGATCCAAATGAGCGGTAGGATCGTCAAGAAGCAGAAGGGAGGGCTTGACGAAGAGGGCCTTGGCAAGAGCCACGCGCATACGCCAACCACCCGACATGTCCTTGGTCATTTTGTGGATGGTTACTTTGTTGAAGCCTAGACCAGTAAGGATTAGGGAGGCACGGGTAGAGAAGGTTGACGGATCCATCTTCTCCATGTGCTATGTCAAAGGTCACAAGTTAACACGCTTGTCGGTCATCCAAAAAAAAAAACCCCCAGACAGGGTTACTAGGGTCCAAGGGGAATAAGTAAGAAAGGAAGGGAGGGTTGACTGACGTCGTAAATGTCCATGAGGACGGGGCTCTCAGGACCGTCTTCCTCGAGGATCCTCTCGGCCAGCTGATCGAGACGATCCATTTCACGCTCGGCCTCCTTGACAACCCATTCAAGGGCACCAAGATCGGTAGGTGGGGCGCCCTCGTTGAGGAGGTAGATGTCAACATGTTCGGGAATGGGAAACTCGCGCGCGGCGATGGCCTTCAGGAAGGTACTCTTGCCACAGCCGTTCTCACCCAGCAAGCCATAGCGGCGGCCAAAGTTGAGCTCAAGGATAGAGTCGTTGATCAGTTGGCGGCCATGGAAGACCAGGCTGGTGCTGCTGATCTTGACGTCGCGACTGGAGGGGGTGGAGTCGAGCACACCGGTGGTGACGCGGTCCGAGAGACCATGCTTGTCCAGCTGGGCTGCGAGACGCTTGACCTCGTCCATCTTGTCGGACGAGGTCGCGGGAGCATCTGACTCAATGGGGTTGCCATTGGCATCGATGGCGGGCTCATCGCCGTTGACTGAAGAAGCAGTGGTACTGATATTCTTGCCCTTCTTGAGTCCCTTCTGTTTGCCCTCGGCGGCCTTCTTTGCGAGCCTCTTCTCCTTGGACGCGGAAGGGGCCATCTTGACGGTTAGTAGCGAAGGTTGGGTATGTCGAGGATGGAGGCGGAAGATGAGGATAAGCGTAGGGTAGGTACGCAACAACAGGGTCGAGGGATCGAACGGAGCGATCAACCTGCAAAACTGCGCAAGGTCTCGAGAGGCGGGAACCCGAGCGATCGCAAGATTAGATCCTCGTCAAAAAGCTGCCGAGGGTTTGCTGCTATAACAAGAAAGAATTCCGCAACTATCAAGGAGAGACCCAAGTGGAAAGGGGAATGGATAGGTAGGGACTTGGGTCAACTGATAGACGATAAGGCGTCGAGAGAAGATGAAGATGCAGTGGGAGAAAGTCAAACACTCAAATCTTGAATGTTATCAGAAAAAGGTTGGTGGGGGTGGGCAAAAGTGATAGTGCATTGTCACAGCATCAGCGGTGGAGGTGGCGGTGGGGATTTATTTGTGGGCCTTTAAACAGAGTTTTGTTCTTTTTTTCTGTGAGTAGAAACTAATAAATTGTCTGAAGAGGGGGAAGAAAAAATTGAAGCACCGAGTACCTACGAGGCAGACACAGGGTACCGTCCATGGCGGGCAAATTCTGGTGGCAAAAGATACTCATCTTCGTGCCCAGGTTACCGTTACGTACCTTACTGTGGGGTTTATCCTTCGTTGACCCCTCCAACAGCGGGGCACATGCAGTAAAGTAAGGCATCAAGCAAAAAGTTGGCGGGGCTGTGCTGCCTTATGCCTAAGGTATTAATGCCCTGATATTCGCACCTAATCGTAAGCCTTTGCTTTCTTCGATATAACAAGAAAAAATAAGACTTAAACAATAATCCTATTTTGTATAATCAGGTTATATTACCTACCTACGCACCCCGAGCTGCACCTCTCAGGTCTTCTTCTTCTCTTCCTTGCCTCTGCGTGAATTGTCCATACGATATACCTACCTATGTCATCAGCAACTCATGTTGTTGAATCACGTGAATCTTTGTGTCAGAAGAGCAAAACGATGCGAGTGAGATTCGAACTCACGCTCCCGAAGGAACAGCGTTATATTATTACCTAGAAGATTCTAATAGCAGCGCTGCGCGTTAACCACTCCGCCATCGCACCTTTTGGTAATGGTTCCCCAGTCCCGGTTGGCAAGACCTCAAATAGTGCAGGCAGGCGAGCCCGACACTGTCAGCTAAAGCTCGTCTCGTAGTTCTGGACTGCCGAGTAATAAATCCTAGGATGCCTTAACTTCACCAAGATTGCTGTATTTACTGGTGTGATGTCTGGGCGATTTGGTTCGCGGAACTATTTGTGGTCCATTTCAGGGCCACGCCGAGTGAGCTACCGGGATGGCTTACCGAGATTGCTCACCATTTTCCGGCGCCTGTTTCTGATAACCAAGTGGCTTGCTAATTGAAACATACCCAATTCTCTGGCATTGTCTTACCCGAAAATCAGAAGACTTGAATTTACGTGTCCCTTCACATGTATTGGAAGATGCCTTCTTTTCGGGTATGTATCTCATCATAAATTATTTGAAGGTGGATTGGCTGCCATTTCTGAAGACAGCTTGGTGCTATTAATTATACACAACGTATCTCGACCAACAGGAGACTTTTCACCTTTCGCAAGCCAGCCCGTGTACTCCGTACACATAATACAGGAAAGGCCTCAGGCTTGTTCATTGCTCTTGAGGTTCTCATACATCGTCTCCCCGCCCGCATGCTGCTGTTTGGGCCCCGTACCACCAGCGGCCCGCAGCTGGGTCTGCTGGAACTGCCGCTCCGCCAACCGTGCGGGGTCGTCCTCGCTTCCGGGCTCGGCGTTTAGGGCCTTCTGGAGGCCGTCCTCGGTGCCCTCGTAGTCGATGCCCTCCTTCAGGTTCTTGCCGTGCGGGCCCGACTTGTCCTTAATGTACTGGCTGGCGATGTAGGTAGGGGCTGCTCCTCCCTGGCCACCGCTGGCGCCGAGGACTGATGTCGCGCTCTGCAGCTTGCCGCTCGATTCTGTAGCCGACGGAACGTTTTCGTTGCCAGACTGCTTCGTGATCCCGGATTCGGACTTGGTTTTTGCGCCAGTGTTCTCGGAAAATTGTCCACCATGAGCCATAGACTCGGCGGCGAGGGATCCAGAGACGCGACCGGCGCCCTCTTGGTTTACAGGGGCGTCTTTGCCCACGGTAACCTGTCAATAAAAGGTATTGTGAGTATTGATGAATGATCACCTCCAGCTCATGCCTACTTCATTCATGGCATGTCCGGGGGGGGGGGGTTTACGTACCTTAGTTCCTTCGCTAGGAGCCTTGCCAGACATTTTCAGGTTCTATTGCGAATTCAGGTTCAGAGTAGAAAGTCGCTTCGAGTTATTCGGGTGATCGTGGAATTCCTCTCTTGGGTTGACAGTTTTGAAAAGAACTGATTGATGTTAATTTGCGAGATCGACCAGAGAATGCGGGCACTGCCGTATAAGAAGTTTGAGCTTCAAGGACATGACATCACCACGACCACGCGTGACTTTGTCGCGACAGTGTACCTTTAGGCTTGCCTGGAAGCCGAGGATACATTTTACTGAGGTAGACATCTCCCGATTGCAAAATGGAATGAGATGAAAGAATGACTTCAGCCGCTCCACTGTTCGTTGTTCGTTGCTGCCGTTGTTAGACTCCATGTCAATGGAGCTTCTGAAGATTACATCATACCCAGCCGTCGGCGTCCTAGTTATGTCATAATTAACGGGGAGTACTGGCATCTCACTCGGACGGGTAGAGACTTCAGTAAGGTAGGCAATCGACGCTAAGCTAGGACATGTTATTGTTTCTGATCATGGTCTTACTCTTACTCGGATACATTCGGTCGTTCTCCGATCTCCCTCCAGTGTGTTGAATCCGCCCTGGTGAGAGCTAAATTCCACGGAGACGAGACCTAGATCCGATAGGCCAGGTAGTGAAGCCAAATTCCGCGTCACTTCTCTTCTTCAGTGTGTAGCAAAATCCTTTGCCACGTCGTTCAGTTGCGATCTGAACAAGCAAGTGATAATATCGACTTACCAAGACACAACCCAGGAAGATTTGCCGTTCAAGCTTCTACACACGGCCTGGCTACTTGCGTTGTCCGCGGCCACATCGGCTGATCCCCATCCGTCGGTGCCGTATTCCGTCGTTCTTTCGCGTAAGAGCTTGACCGCCACTGCGCTGGCCAAGCCCCTGCGGCGGTATGGATCCTGTGCGGTTTGGATCTAGGAGTCAACGGTCCTGAAGGAGCAGGAGACGTAAACTGGGGGCGTCGGGGGGTATAGGTATAAAGCTTTACCTCGCAATGCAGGCTGGCCAAGGAGCCATCAGGGGCTACGTACGTCGTACGTACGCGTTTAGTTGTTTAACAAGGTGGCTAAGGTATGTGTGGCTATTAGGTGATAGGTAGTGAAGGTTATACGTACCGAGAAACGCCCACGCAATCGGCGTCCCGTCTCGGAGTCTGATGACCATGCCCGAGAGGGCAAGAAGCGTTTTTCTGCGTCAGATAAGCCCACGCATCAGCACGTGTCGAGCCCCGTCACCAGATGTCCCGCTTGTTGCGAATTTATGAATTAGACTTATGAACATACACCTCTCGCGGAATGTGCGTTCGTGCCTTGACAACATGGCAGTTGTCGAGTGTAGGCCTGCCATAGCGCATGCCCTCTGGCAGAGCAACGTCGGCAGAGGGCAGCTCAACTACTCGGAAGAGGAACTTGTCATAGTCACCCCTTTCGGTGATAGAAAATCCAGGAGCGCGGGCGCGAATTATTTGACGCACATGGTTATTTATGGTACCGATGAGCACGGCGCTTGGGTAGGCAAGTGGGGCGTCGTGCTCATGGACGAGGCGCCGCACGCCATGGAGGACGGAGAGAATCTGGGCTTCGGCCAAGGCCACCTCGTCGGGAGGGAGAGCAGGAGAAGCGGAGTCGTTCAGGGCATCCTCCAGGGTCGAGTAGATCCACATGTTAGTCTCGGGTCCGCGGGAGAGATCCAGGTACGCGGCCGTGAAGTGCCTTGGCGTTCGGCAGATTGTATGATTTTGTTCGGGGGACCCTGGCTGTCCGATCCCCTGAATGGGGTCATCGGTGGCAACTAGGACACGGGAGGAAGGGGTGCTTCCTCCCGGAAAGGAGGTAGACTGGAGGCGGCGAAGGAGAGGGAGAGAGGCGGGGAGATGCGAGGTTAGCAAATTATTGAGGCCGTCTGGCACAGCGGTACAGACGAAGGCTTCATGGACCATCTCGAGGCTTTGCAACCGATTGTCTGATGATAGTTGCCACAGTCACACAGTCGCATTAGCCTACCTTGTTAAGGTATCCGGTAAGTGCTACAGAAGCCAAGTTGCGCAGTCGGATGTCCTGCAGTAACAGGTTTGCAACATACCTGCGTAGAAACGCGCTAATCGGGAAGTAGAATTTCCTCGCCTATTATAGTAAGGCACGAAACGACGCTATTATCGCGAGGAATATTAAAGCAGGATAATAGGTATTAGGGTAGTAGCCGGTTAATCGGGTAAAGGTAGTTCTAAGCCTATAGCTCTTAGATAAGGATTCCCGTATACGCCCGATAACTCCTTTAAGGTAAGCTAGTACTAGCTAAAATTAGTAAGTAATGTCCTAGGGCTTATAGGATCTTCGGGAGATATAGAAAGAGCTATCTTTTAGCCGGAAAACCCCTTATATTATTACCCGCTATACTTAGCGGCTATTTACGAAAGTATTAAAGGTATTAGATAAAAAAGACGTTTTAATAGTAAAGAGGTAATTCTAGCTTAGTTAGTTAAAGGTATAATTAGATCTAGAAAGGCTGAAAAAGAGGGTAAAAATGCCTTTAGAGGTAAACGAATAGTTTACCTCTATCGAGGTAATTATTATTATTATTATTATTAATCTTACTCCGCTATCCTAACTAATCTATAATTATTATTTTAGGAGCCTTTCTAGGCTATACGGTCCTTCTCGGGTGGCTATAGAGGGGAAAACCCAGGTAAAACCCGGGGAAAACCTTTATACACTTCCTTAGGTGGAGTAGTGCCGCTACGGGGCCGACGTGGCCCCGGTTCGTCTCTGCTACGTATCTGGATTATACCTCTAGGCTAGTGGCTAACGGGAAGTATGGCAGGCTAGTGGTTAGGTAGGTTAGCCTAAGCTAATCGTTAGCGACGGAGTGGAGGCCGAGGGGGGTACCGCCGCGCCTCCGCGGTGCGGCAGTTACGTCCCTTTAGCCTCGGCCTCCCTACGTCTCCGAGGATTATGCCTTTTATTCCTTCCGTTCGGTTAATAAAGAGTATAGGGGAGGCAGGCGCCTCCTGCCTCCCCTAAGTAGGTTCCTGCTATATCCGGCGGCAGGTAGGGAGGATAGTGCTCTACCCTATTATAAAATTTAGATAGTTAATATCCTATAAGGTCTTCGTGCCTCTTTTTCCTCTCTTTTCCTTCTATAACGCTAATAAGTTCGTTATAGGTTTTCCTCCCGATCTATACCCGCTTACGGTACCGTAGGCTTATTGTTACGGCTCTATACTAATAGTGAACCCTCTAGTTTTCCTCGTTATTTCTTCCTTATAATTTAACTATAGGTGCTTCGTGGGTGGCGTCGCGGTAGCGTGGTGGCGTAGGGGTTAACTAGGTAGTATAGTATTAATTCATATATATAAATAAGTAATCCGAAGTGGCAGTATAATATAAGTTCTCTTTATAGCGCGGCGGTGCCTCGGTGGCAGCGTGCTAATAGTCGTAGATATCGTCTCCTAATAACACCAACACCAATAATAATAATCGCCGCTACGAGCGCGGCATAGTTCGTGTTATGCCGTATATAGCCCTCGGTGGCGTCGGAGTGGTGTCGTAGCGCTGACGTGGGGCAGTTACATTCGTTATAGTAAGCGTTTAGGCACTTACCCCGACGATATAGAAGCTTACGCTAACACTACGGGAACAGGCGCGGCCTATTACCAGTATGCTAACAGTCGCCGTCTATATAAGGATGTGAGTCGCCTCGGTGCCGTGGTGGTGCCGTGTGTGCGTCGTGGTGTCGAGGTAATTATAAGGGCGCGATAAAGGGGGGAGGCGTTAATTAAGCTAATTAATATATTACCTAAGGGCCACAAAGCTAGATTTAAATCTATATATATAGAATTCCTACTAGAATAGCTATATTATAGGTGAAAATAGATTTATTCTTAGATTAAGTCGTCTCGGTTAGGTAGGCGGTTAGAGGGGGTGGGCGGGTGGGGGGTGGTCCGACTTAATATAAGTACCTAAGAGGTAGGTTAAGCAGGCAATTATACATGTGTACTTCGGAAATGGTGTGGGGACGGATACCAATCAGCACGTACGTTGTACATACAACACTAGGTACATATGATCCGATTCTCATGTGAACTAAGGTAGGTAACAAGTCTAAAGACGGGCTAGCCGTTTTGGAATACCTAGGCACCCCTCACTTAATAAGGTACCTAGGGTGTACCTCGGTACATTGTACCGTGATGTCGGGCAACTCTGTAAAAATTCCCATGACGGAGGTAGTATGGATATGTATGGATATGGGTGTGAAATTCGATATCTGGGAATTTGCGGATCCCAGGGTTGACCCTTTCCATTTATTTCTGTGACGCGGCTACCTACAGGTAGGGGAAGCACGACTTTGCTGCTACTGAAGCACTAGTTGCAAGGTACTTTCGTACGTACCTTATACACCGGAGAATACAATTTCGTCTCCTCAGTGGCTCGACTGGAGAAAACGCTCCGGGCCTTCCTTTACGCGTAATGGTTTTGCCAGGGACAAACCGGAGCAAATCAAGACAATCAAGGGAAGACAAGGATACAGGACCACCCCAAGGATCAGTAGTGTAGTGCCTTGCTTTCTTCCCATGGCCGTGGGGCAGCAGAGGAACCACCTTGATATATTTCCTCTTCCCACCTTACCCCTATCGACATAGGTGTTGGCGATCCCCTTCCGATTGTTTCGATCCCTGCTTTTCTTGTCGTTTCCCTTCAGTCGCTACCTAAAAATCCCATTTTCCCTTCTCCTTTTCTATAATTATTCTATACATCCGAAGTATCTATATCGGTATCTCTTTCCCTTGCCGCCTTCCCCTGACCTGACGTCCTACCCTTGCATAAGGTACTTGATCAGGCCGTACCCGTACCTCCGGAGTACGTTAGGTGTGTACGAATACTACTCGGTACGTGTGGATATTCGCATCAACCAAAAGGTGAAGCGGGTGTGCGTAGGTGGCGTCGTTCTTCAATGGCAAGAGCGACAGTATCTCAGCCGAGGGCCCCTTCTTTCTTCTGCTCAGTTGCTGCTGTTTCCCATGGCCACCTCACGGACCTCCTCCGTACCTTGCGATCTTGAACCCTACCTGACGATATTGAACCTACAATATTCAACCCTACGATATTGAACCTACAATATTCAACCCTACGATATTGAACCTACAATATTCAACCCTACGATATTGAACCTACTACAATCAATACTTATAATCAAAAACCAATAACTACCTTACCCTAGGTAGGGATCGGAACTCCACAGATCGAAATCGGAATCGAAATCTACCCTACCTACTGCGTACCGTGACGAGTTCTGTAAAGTAACCTATTCCTATCGGTCATGGTCTCGTACTCCGTAGACCTCATCGCGAAAAGTCTCGACCCGGTTTCCTCTTCCTCTTCCTCTTCCGCTTCATCTCCCTCTATCTCAACTCAAAAATCATGCACCAGAATTTCGAGGGCGCCCGTGAACGGGAAACCCTCAAGTACGTTGTCTCCCTTCCCCTTCCCGTCCCCGTTTTCCCCGTTCCCCGTTCCCCGTTCCCCCTTCCTCACCCCTTGCACCTCAACATGTCGGTCTTACATATATACATACCTTTCTATCTTCGTTTCGACTGACCGCCGTGTCTGTCGTTCCCTCAGATATCAACACGCCTTCCCTGTTCCAACTGCAGTGGTCAACGACCCAACGGCTCCCGTCCCCCGTGATGCCGTCGCTTCTTGTGCCGACTCAGCCTTAACCGCCTTTGCCCAGCTGGCTTCCCTTCGCCTCAACACCACCCGCGCTCTCATCTCCCTCTTCGACCGCGAACACCAGTATGTGGTCGCCGAGGCCACTCAGTCCATCCCTCTCAGCCCGGGCATCCAGTACCCCGAGGAAGGTCGAAATCACTTGTGGCTTTGTGGGGCCGCTGTCCCTCGATCTTATGGCATTTGCGAGCACGTCCTCCTTGGTGTCACCGGCGGTCCGGATACCCCCGGCTCCTTCGTCCAGCCTCCCAATGGGGACCTCCATGTCTCCGTGATCCCCAACCTCGCTGAGGACACCCGGTTTGCTGACCGTCCTTATATCCGCGATGCCCCGCATTACCGATTCTACGCTGGCGTCCCCATCCGCTCGCCGAAAGGCCTTAATATTGGCGTCCTGAGCCTCTTCGACGTCACGCCTAGGGCCGCCGGCCTCGACTCGGCTGCTCTCCAGCTCATTGTTGACGTATCTCAGACTGTCATGGGCTACTTGGAGTCAAGGCGCGTTAACGACAGCTATCTTCGTAGCGAACGCATGGTGCTCGGCCTGGGCAATTTCATTCAAGGCAAGGACGAACCCTCCACTTGGTGGCCCAAGAAGAAGAAGCTCCACCCTGCCCATTGCAATGCCCATCTGAATGGTGACAGAGATGCCTCTGCCAGCCCAACCCACACGGTCAGTGTGACCGAAGATGGTGTCCAAGTTCAACCGCGCAATCGACCCGAGAGCCCCCTCCGGCCCATCGCCACCGTAAAGGACGCACCGCCCGCCTCGCAGAAGAGCGAGTCCACTGAGTCGGTCGACACCGTCCCCTCTACCGGCGCTTCCGCCTCCACCAACCGGAGTCCAAAGCCCCCCGTCGACCCGCATCAAACCGAGATGGTCAAGATCCTCACTACGGCTGCTGACATCGTCAGAGAGTGCCTCGATGTTGAGGGAACTATCTTCCTCGATGCGAGCGTGGGTTCTTTCGGCCGCCTTGTCGAGTCCGCCCATCTCACCACTCACGTCGATTCTGTCGACGACCTCACCTCCAGCAGCGAAGATAGCTCCTCCAGCCAGATCCATAACCGCCAGGATGAGCAGCCCTGCAAGGTCTTTGCCGTTTCTAGGCGGGACAAGTCGGTCACCCTCGACGGCGACAAACCTGTCAACAATTCGGTCATGATGACGGAAAGGCCTCTCGCCAAACTCCTCCGCCGCTACCCCAATGGGAGGATATTCAGCTTCGACGAAGCCGGTGCCTGGTATTCCGGGGAATCGTCTTCCGGCGATGATGCCACCGAGCCCGAAGATAAAGGCGAGAACGGCGGGCCGAGGCCATCCAAGGGGCGCAGGTCGCCACATTCACGCCGTGGCGAGGCCAAGATCATTGGCAAGCTCTTCCCGGGCGCCAGGAGCGTGGCCCTCTTCCCGCTTTGGGATCCTTTCCGCGACAAGTGGCACGCCGGTGGCTTCATTTGGAGCAAGACTCCCACCCGCATCCTCACCACCGATGCCGATTTGCCTTACCTGAGAGCTTTCGGCATGATCACAATGGCCGAAATCAGCAAGCTGGACGCCATGGTCGCCGATAAGGCGAAGACGGACATTCTGGGTTCCCTGAGTCACGAGTTACGATCTCCACTACACGGTGTGGTGGCGGCCGCCGAGCTGCTCCATGACACCCAACTCGACGTCTTTCAGATGGATGTGGTCCATGCCATTGAAATTTCCGGGAAGACGTTGCTTGACACCATTGATCATGTAAGTCACCGCCTTTTTTACTTCTTCTTCTTCTTTTTTTCTTCTTTTTTCTTTCTTTTTTTATGTCTCTTCCATTGGACGGGGTCCGTAATGTGTCCACAGCTCGTCATTGACTAACTCGACGCCTGCCTGGCGCATTTGTGAATAGTTGCTTGCCTACAGCAAAGTCAACAACTTCTTGAGCTCTTCAAGAACGCAACGCAAAAAGGTCAAGACGGTTCGCGGTCTCAGTAAGGAAGCCGAGGCGTCCATCGAATCCGGTATGGTGACGCTCGTCTCTGATATCGCGCTGGACGTCTTGGCCGAAGAGGTGATAGAAAGCGTGTTCATCGGTCACAGTTTCCAGCACACGGTGGCATCGCAACTGGCACGACACGGTGCCAAGGGCCCCATGACATCGCCACGAGAACGCCTTGATGCGATCTATTTGGCAGACACCGGAAGCACGCAAACTTCGGTTTCTGAAGAACTTCCCCAGGATCATGGGGTCGTACAGGTCATCGTCGATATCGATCCGAACCCCTACTGGTGGTTCCGCACGCAGCCGGGGGCTATCCGCCGGATCATCATGAACCTGTTTGGAAACGCGCTCAAGTATACCTCTCGTGGCCACGTCAAGATCACCTTGAGGCAAGAAGACATGGCACAAAAGGGCGCGAACCCGAACTCCATGGTCGTGCTCACTGTCGCCGACTCGGGCAAGGGCATCGGTGAAGACTTCCTGCGAAACAAGCTGTTCACGCCGTTCTCGCAGGAGGATCACCTTGCGCCTGGTACCGGCTTGGGGTTGAGTCTCGTCCGTCAGATCGTCGTCTCTCTCAACGGCTCAATCAGTGTGAAGAGTCACGTCGGCCAAGGCACTTCCGTTACCGTCTCCATCCCGTTGGCGTTTGCCCAGAAGCAGCAAGACAGTCGAGAAAACCACAGCCAGAAGCGCTCCCTCGACTGCCGCACCATCCCACCCCTCCGGGCATCTGCGATCGGATTCAGCGATGTCCCGGTCAAGTCCAGCGTGGCGGGCGAATCATCAGTCCCCCCACTGGAAAGCTTGCCCCTCAAGTGGTGCAACATTACACTCTGCGAACTGAGAACCTTAGAGGATGGTCTCGTCGCTACCGATGTGGGTCTGGCGATCTACAGTGAAACTGCTTACCGTCGACTGGACAAGACCACCCTCGATCGACATCCAGTCCCGGCAGTGGTGGTCTGCCAAAGTGCTGTGAACGCCATGAAAGTTGACCCATCCCCGTGGTCGGGGAGGAACTCCGCGTTTGAGTTCGTCCATCAACCGTGAGTTATCCGCGAGCGTCGTTTCTCCCAGATGATGGTGAAACCTAGTACTAATAGAAAATGAATTCATCAGGCACACCCCTCGAAAGTTTGGTAAAGCGGTCGTGTCCGTCCTCAACCGTTGGCGGGAATTGCAAGCCACGAGAATGCCGGCTAAACCAACTCCATCCTCTGCCTCAATGGACACGAATATCGTCTCGACCATTGCAGATGGCTTGTCAGGGATTTGTATTGTTGCCAGTCCGGGAAAGGCCTCGCTAGAGGCGATGATACCCCCGGAGGTCGTCAAGACCATGCCAGAGGGAATACGCCGACTCGGCAGTGTAGACGATGATTCCGATTTCACGTCAGTTACATCGCCTGGCATATCCTCGGATTTGACATCCCCCACGGATGTGGACATTCACGACGATGAGCAGACCTTGAGTCTCGGCGCCCAAGCAATGGCCAGTAGTGGCAAGCACACAGCCCACGACGGCAACAAGACTGGTGGTCAGCAAGCCAATGGATACCCAGTGGACGATGACAGTGAGAAGAAGACGGGCGGCCGCAGGTCGCATTTCCTTGTCGTCGATGACAACCCAATCAATCTCAAGGTTGGACGGAATCCCCCCTTGGCTACAGTACCATTTCTTAAAGGCTTTGCAAATTCTGATTCCTTGAGCAGCTTCTTTCCACATTTATGAAACGTCTACGCCGCGAACATTGTACCGCTACGAATGGCCTCGAGGCTCTAGAAACATTCACGGGATCCCCGGACAAGTTTTGCTGCATTCTGATGGGTATGTCTCTCTGTTGAACCAGCCAGACCTTTGACCGGGGGGGGGGGGGGGGGGGGGGGTGTTCGTTATTGTTGTTGTTGGGTGGTTTCGAAAACTAACCGAGTCTTCTGCGTAGATATCAATATGCCGGTCATGGATGGGTTAGAATCAACCCGTAAAATCAGACATTTCGAACGCAGCCGTCAACTACCGCCAGTTACGGTAATCGCCATCACTGGTTTGGGGTCCCAAAGCGATCGGGAGGAAGCTTTCGCCAGCGGACTGGATCTTTTTCTCACCAGGCCGGTGAGGATGGGGGAGCTTTTCGCTATCCTGAAGGAACGCGGTCTTGGAGACCAAGATTCAGAGGGTCGCATGAACAAGGAGACGAACGCGGACACGGATACGGGCACAGACACGACCACGACGAAGGCCACGACAGCGACCGCGACATGATATATGGGACAGCAAGGGCTCTGGGCAGGACGAAACAGGTATGAAATAGACCTGCATGATTAAAACGGGAAAGGAAGATGGCAGGACTACCTCCGACTTTAGAGACGATACCCCACCGAACGGCAACATGGGCTGGCTACCTTGGGCGCAGGTAGGAGTTTTTGGCGTTTCCGGATCTTTTTGGGTATTCCTTACTGGGGGAAAAGGAAAGGGGGGGATTACTTTTTTTCGGTTTCTTCTTTTCTATTCTCCCCCGTCACACTCCTGCGACGTGTTCGCAACTGCGGTTACTGCGGTTACTGCGCCCTCGGGTATACGGGACGACATTCTGGATGGTGCCACGGTCTGGTGGTTGTGTGGTTGCGGGCAGTTGTTTAAACGGCAAAGAATTTCTCGACAGGGGCAGCTGGTCAAGGAGATGACGCCTCGATGCGCGTCCTTTCGACCCGCATTGTGTATGAATATACTACAGCAAAACAGGATGACAGGCAATGGTCGACATTGGCTGATACATCGAGGTGCTCGGCACGAACATCATACAGTAACCATGGTTTTCATACTGTCCAAGTAGCATTTGAGTAGTCCCTGTGGCTGGTTGGAAGGCTTGAGTGATGCTCTTTAACCACTATTTTCTCTAGACCTATTTCGTCCGCCGTACTCTGAAGAAACGAATGCGAGCGAAGTGCATAGTAAGATAAGACCCCGGAACAAAGATGGGTGGGTGAGTGGAATAAGACGTATGTTTACACCGGGATACCCATATTCGAGCACGGTGATATGGCTATCTATTGATAGCCAGGGCATTTGCCTGTTCGAAGCCCGTGAGATGGATAACTGGGCTTACAGAGTAGACCAACATGTTGGCTGTAGACTGTTTTCCAGTATGTTCCATATCACCGAACCAAGATGAAGTGTAGAGACACTTCTTACTATAGTCCTCACACCCTCACACCCTCACACCCTCGCAAACGGTTTAAAGGTCCCAAGTCGGAAGGTCCAAGTCAACTACGATGGGCTTGTTCATGGTCCGTCCACCCACGTGGGGGTAGCTTTTGGCCATTATGGCGCAGTTGACGACACAGGTCTCCTGTCTTCCCCGTCTGCCTAGGAGGGCGGTCTGATCAGACCGATGAGAAGCTGGTTCTCCCCCAAACCCCTTGACCTCGGCCGACTCCGCGAGCGGCACGGAGGCGGACTTGGGCCCTGTCGTATGACGATGCGAGCCGTCGTTTCGCAACGGATCGCGGTCTCTGGCAGTCAGGTCGACGAGACTCATCTTCCTCCCGGCCGGGTCCGGATCAGCCCAGCGCCGCACGCCTGCCTCTTGGAAGGCGACATGGCCGCACCCCAGTTCCCAGAGAACGCGCTCCGCACCGCGGGCCTGGTGGATATGGCCGCACACGGCCAGCCGCGGCCTTACGCGCCATAACGCCCTTCGTAGCGCCTCGCAACCCGCGGGGAGGCCGTCTTTGATTTGGTGGTCGCAGTGCGTCCTGGGAGGTGTGTGGGTGACGACGACGTCGGTGTCGAGGGGTATGTCGTCCCACAACGTCGGCAGGCTCTCGGGTGGCTGTGGCTGTGGCTGTGGCTGTGGCTGTGCTGTCGGGAGCGCCGGGGGGTAGGTAAAGGCTGCGAAGATGCCATGGTGGGCGTTGCGGGGGGAGTAGGGGGAGCCGAAGACCCTGAAAGTAGTACGAGGGCCCTTGGGTGAGGTGAGGCGGATCTGAGCGGCGGCATGAGTTAGGTAGGTGATACTTGGGGAGGAGGTCATGAGGGAGATGCAGTCGTCCGCAGATGAGTCTGATGGGCCGTTTCCCCTGTCGAGCTCGCGGTCTAAAGCCAAATCATGGTTTCCTGGCATGTCGATCCCCCAAAAGGGCATCAGAGATTTGGGCAGTTCATGTCGCAGATCTTGCCATGTGAAAGGGGGGGCGCTCTTGTCATTTGGGGGCGGGGAGAGAGTAATTACCTGCGACGACAATCTTTGCCTCGAAATCGGTCTTTTCAAGCCACTGTATGGCACGGGAGAGCTGGTGACCATCCGTAATCAGCCACGTTGGACCAGGAGACTAGGGGAAGGGGGCAGAGGTAAGCTCACTTCGGAGAAAGAGCCCTGGTTTGTGAGGTCGCCGGCGTGAATGAGGACGTCTCCGCGGGGCAGGGCTGGAGTGCATCTGTGGGTATCGGATATGAGGACGAAGCGGGTACGACGTAATGTCTGTACTGGTTGGAATGGTTTGGCTGATGATGGCGACGATGCTGAGGCTGACGCCGGCGAGTTGGGCGTCATGTAAGGAGTGAGTTAAAGCACCTGTTTCGAGATATAGGCAGTAACGCAGTCCGGGTATTATATAGTATATAGTGGTGCTGTGAAGACGGGGGAGTTCTTTGATGCTTGGATTGGGTAGCACAGGAAATGGAGATGAATAATTGATTAAAAGTTGTAATTGATAGTGATGGTGATGATGGTGGGTGAGAGGCAGCGATGTTGGAGGCGAGATGTGTTACGGAAGGCCAAGGTACATGTGATTATGTAAAGGGCTTGTGCTTCGGTCTTTTTGTCATGCCACAGATTTGTACTTGTACTGGTTGTGTATCAAAGGTAACTTGTCGGTAATTACGGAGTAAAACAGAAAAAAAAGAAAAGGAAGAACGAAAAAAAAAGGGGGGGGCATGGGCATTGTCTTCCCTTGTTTTGCGGGGAAGCAGTTCTCAAAGGTCACGTCGGCTCTTGAGGGAGAAAAGAAACAAATGAGGAAAAGAGGTATGTTCCTTCGCCCTGATTGTTTCTACTAGCTAGCACTAAGTATAATAATTAATTTCGTCTATTCTCCTCCCCGACTTGCACTATCCGACTATCCATACACGGCTTGCAAGCAAAAAGACAGTAGACAATAGACAAACGTCTACAGGCCGGTCACCCTAGGGCGGGGGATGCACGTGCGGGTCGAGGTGGGAGGGGCAGCCGACGAGGTAGGCTCCGGGCCAGGGAGTTCGTCCGTCGCCTCGAAACGGCCCTCTATCTCGGCATCGATGGGGCTGTTGTTCCCGAGGTACCGGATGAGAACCTCGTCCTGCAGGTCGAGGGGCACGTAGTCGGTGGTGAGCTCGAACATGTTGTCGCCGCCGCCAGCGAGGAAGTCCAGGGTGACGACGATGTAGTCCTCGTCGTCGACGACCTCCTCGCCGTCGATCAGCAGCGAGACGATGCGCTCGCCCGGGTCGAGGGCCGGGTTGTAGCGCAGGCGCACGGAGGCGGAGACCTGGAAGCCCGAGGTGATGGGCTCGCCGTTGAACTGGTTGACGCGGCTGACGCAGCCCTCGAGCAGGCGGCGGACGTCGGCGCCGGAGAAGGTGAGCTCGGTGATGGCGTTGCCGAAGGGGAACGAGGTGAGGACCTGGCCGCGGGTGACGTTGCCGGCCTCGATGGCGGCGCGGATGCCGCCGGCGTTGATGAGGGCGAAGTCGGGCGGGCGGTCCTCGCTGGTCTCGAGGCGGTACTCGTACATGGCGTCGGCCATGACGTTGCCCAGGGTGCACTCCTCGGTCTGGCACGTGGCCTGGACGAGGTCGACGTTGGTGTAGCCGACGACGACGCCGGCGAACTCCTCGAAGGGCCCGCGCCACTCGTCGATCTGGGCCTGCAGGGCGGCGTCCTGGGCGGTGGTGTTGTCCAAGTGGATGGGCCCGCCGTGGTACGAGACCGGGTGGCCGTCCGCGTCGAAGCTGACGTCGATGTAGCCGACGTACTCGCCCCAGCGCCAGGCCTGGACGACGAAGACGTCGTGGCCGTCGCGGCCCTGGACGACGGTGGGGTAGTCGCCCTGGGGGTTCGGGTGCAGGTCGCCGAGCGGGGTGTGGGAGTGGCCGCCCATGACGAGGGAGAGGCCCGAGGTGGCGGCGGCCAGGGCCTGGTCCTCGGCGTAGCCGATGTGGGTGAGGGCGACGATGCGCTTGATGTCGGTGGTGGCGCGGATCTCGTCGATGCAGGCCTGGACCGAGTCGACGACGTCGAGGAAGCGGGTGCCCGGGCCGGGGTTGGCGATGTTGCGGGTGGTCGGGGTGGTGGCGCCGATGATGGCGACGCCCTGGTCCTCGAAGATCTTGTAGGGGATGATGGTCTGGTTGAGGGCGGTGTGGTTGGACTGGATGTTGGCGGAGATGACGGGGAAGGTCAGGTTGAGGAGGAACTCGCCGAGCTCGTCGTCGCCGCCGTCGAATTCGTGGTTGCCGAGGGTCATGGCGTCGAAGCCGAGCTGGTTGATGGTCTCGGCGATCTTCTCGCCTCGGTAGTAGGTGTAGAAGAGGGTGCCCTGGAACTCGTCGCCGGCGTTGAGCCACAGGGAGTCCTCGTAGAGGGGACGCAGCTCATCGACGGTATGCTTGACGCGGGCATAGCCGCCGTAGCAGCCGCGGGACGGGTTGGTACAGTCTGCGCCGGAAGAGGAGAATTCGTCTAGGTGAGCGTGGACATCGTTGATGTGAAAGAAGGCTAATTGAGAGAGAGACGTTGTTAGCGGTGGTTGTAGAAGGGGCCTAGGCGCGCAGAAGGAATGCCCAACATACAGACGTTGAAGTTTCCGTCGGCATCGAGACCACGTTTGGCGAGGCGTGAGCTATACAGGTGGTCTTCGTCGACTTTCTGTGGCACGGCGCTCACGACGCCCGCCAAGGCCAAGGCCAGGGCGGATGAGGCCAGTGAAGTCCTCATCTTTTCTTTTTTCTATTTCTCTTTTTTCCCCCTCTTACCCTCTTTCCCTCTCTTTCGGTCTTATGTCTAATCGCACGGGCGCGAATTAGTCGTCGAAGGAAAAGAGTGAGCAATAAAGAGAGTCTGCCCTGGTGGATGTGAAAGGTACCCAGATGGGTGTGTAAGACACGCGCCGCGGATCTACATATATAATCATGGGGGGAAAGCGGTGGCGATTCCGAAAAGGAGGAGACCTGTCGATCACAGACGGGCAGGGGGACAAGGGGACAGGCGGGCTTGAGACACAGCGAAGGGATCATGGTGGGAATTTGGGGACTTCGGGGCCCAGTTGGGGCAGGGAGGGTCCAGAATTCGGCGAGAAGACTGGATGAGAACAACATGCCAGGGTATGTTTGGCACGTTTTCACGTTGCACGTTTCGCGAGATGCTCTGCAGATGGACAATAAACAAATCTGGCTGGGAGGAGGCGTTTTGAGTTTGTTGGTACTGGGATGCCATTGCATGCTCATGCTCCTGCGGCTTCATACTCTGTACCTAGATAGGGGGTTGGCAGGGGGCGTCGCAACCACGTGTGGGCCTTGATAGGTCGGGCTCGGGCTCGGGTTCGTTCTTATCGTGGCCGTCGGTGGATCAGAGCTGCTTCCGTCCTGGGTCTTACAAGGTGGGGGGGATACATAGAATCATGATAGCGACCGAGGCGATGGACGACGACTGGACAGACAGACGAATGACGGGAAGAGACAAGGAGAACCCGTGGCGACGGTTGGCATTGCATTGGCCAATCAATGGTGCTCAGTCTCAAGAATCCTTCGAGGCCGACCCAAGCACGTGGCGTTCGGTGGTGAAGAGCTTCTTCACAGAGACGCCATAGGGTTGGTTGGTCGTACGAAATGCGAAAGCATGTGTCTCCTGGCGACGCTGGCGAATCTAACTTGGACGACGATCAACTGTCAACCGCATATAAGTATAAAAGTAATACTTCATATACTTCATACCCCCATACACAGCAGGGCGAAAGACGAGGTTGGTTGGTTATTCGAAGCGAAAATTCGATAACCGCGTTTCTTGCATCTGCACATGTAAGACGAAGGGATAGCTGTCTTTGGTTCCTTCTTCTTCCGGTGCTAGTGGCGGCCTGGGCGGTTGGAGGACCAACAAGGATCAACAAGGATCAACAAGGAGGAGGTTGAGGTTACCAAAGGAGGAAGGTCGAGAGAGTGGGTGGCTGGCTGGGAATAGGGGAGGGGCGAACGGAGATGACGACTCGGAGAGGATATCCGGTCTGGTCGACTTTTGGGCGTCCGAATGAATATATAAAGGGAATGGATTCCGGCTGTCAGGTCAGAGGCTGACGTTTGTGGGAGTTGGAGCTTATTAGGAGAGGATACAATAATAACGGCAGGGACGAGGGACGAGGGACGCACTGGGCAGGGGAAAGCACCTGGATTGGTATGACTAAGCAGATTATACCAGTTCTTCCGTAATTAGTCCGTAATCACTCCGCAATTACTCCGTAACTATGTCGTGCCTTCTCAAAGCGACGCGAAACGCGTAGCCGTACACGTAATTACAACAACGTACCTTATATTATTATTACATCCATATCTGGACTCTCGCCAAACATCAACATCACCCACCCTCTCTCTGATCTGGCTCCTTGCTATCTATCGTCTGGCCCATCCACAAGCAATGGTCGGAGTTGCGCTGCATACAACTCCCATCCATATATACTCATCTGTTCCCGAGCTACGTTGTACCCTCCTGATGGTTCGGCATTTGGTTCTGGGCCAGGGTCTCATGTCGTCCTCACGACGGCCATCCGAGTCTTTCATCAAACTTGTTTCAGACGCACTGACCTGACCCATAGGAAAGGAAGCACGAATACGACCCAATCGGCAAGTAATCACACTCACTTACCACCTGCGGCTGTCCTGTCCCTATGGGGAGGGGGAGGGGGAGGTGGCGCCGTTCTTAAGCACAACGTAGGTAGGGCCAATCTCACCGTTTAACCGCTTTACACCCACCACCTGCATACATACATACACCCTGCATACAGTAGCACACTCCGGGGAACGATGCGTTATACGTTGCAAGTTAGAGAAGCGCGAGTCACTCTATATCCGGTACTTGGGTCACCACTCCCTATTTCTCCTTTCATCTGCTCTGTTTGTTTCTAATAATGGTCTTTTACTACTACATATTATTGTTTGTCTCTTCTTTTCTCTTTTGTCTATTGTCGTCTGTCGGGAACGGCTTGGCCATCCAACTGGAGACGGTAACGACCGTGGTAGTCGAGGTGGAAAACGGACGGTCACGGTTTGGACAAGTGAGGAGGACGAGCCTGGCAAGCGATGAAGCTAGTTTCTCATCAACGGGCCACTCAGCTCAAGTTGGGATTCAATGAAGAAGAGGCCAATTTCCAAACATGGTCGCCATTCGATTATTACTATGATTCCTAAAGGGTGTTCATCGTACGGTAAGGGTACAGCCAAGGCCACGGTTCAGTCTCGTCCGTTTCAACCATTCTTGTTACATCTCGAGCAAAGTCCATCCCATTCACTCGTACCACATTTCAGTCTCCTTCAACCTGACAAAACACTGTCGAGGCTTCCTCGTAAGTTCATCATACGCAGCATACCCCGAGAGCTGTTCAGCGCAAGGCAACAGCTCAAAATGCCACACAATCAAGGTGATCATGATCTTCAGTTCAAGGTAGGCCAATCGACGGCCAAAGCAGCCGCGCATGCCCAACCCAAACGTGAGCATCGGACCAGCCGCAGAGTCGAAAACAGTGTCCCCCGTCTCGCCATCCGTCGCGAGCCACCGCTCCGGGCGGAACTGGTCCATCCCTTCCTCGTCCCACGTCTTCGGGCCGCCTCGCCCCTTGGCGCCAGCCGCCTGGGAAGTCGGGCTCCGCAGGGCTTCGTCGACGTCACACGCCGGTTCGGACATGGAGGGGCCCCAGATGGGGACCAGGATGGTGGTGCCGCGCGGGATGAAGTGGCCGAGGAGCGTGGTGTCGGTGGTGGCCTGGCGTTCGAGAAGGGGAACAGTGCACCCGCAGCGGAGGATCTCCTCGACCACCGCGTCCAGGTAGGCAACCTTATTAGTGCGGGCGATCTCCTCCGCCGACGGCGCTCGACGGTCTCGGGCGGCTGCGGCGTGAGAAGTGCGCAGGGCATCGCGGAGGGTGGATCGGACACCGGGGTGGTCCGTCAGGAACTTCAGGCCCCAAAGGAGGGTGGTGCTGCTTGTGTCGTGGCCTGCGATCACGAAGCCGAGGACCTTGGGGG